GAAGTTCACTGGAGATTGGACATTGCACACTGAAGTTATGAGTGGCATTTCATGGCGAATCCGCTGAATTCGACAAGTCGTCACTGGCACAGTCATTTCACGTAACGCAGTACAAAATCGCCATGCAGCGCTTACTTCCTGTTGCCAGTAGGTGGCGCTATCACTATGTCTGAATATTGTCATGTAGACGTGTTCAGGGCGGGACTGTTATCAAACACGTGAAGTTTCATTGAGATTGGATCATGTACACTGAAGTTATGAGGACGTGTTCAGGGTGGGACTGTACACTGAAGTGGAGTACTATCTGTTTATGGTGACTGGTCGAAATTCAACGCAACACCACGGGCACGCCGTTTGACGGAATGTCGTAAATAGCACAACTTGAATCATCATCATGAATGTCTTTAGATTGCGCTGATTAAATTTGAAGTTGATCCGATAAATTCCCTAGGAGGAGTTCGTTCAAATACAAGGCGAAAAATCACAGAAAATGAGCACAGAATTTAAAATGGCTGAGTTTGATGCCAAGCCACGGACACGCCGTTTGACGGAATGTCGTAAATAGCACAACTTTTAATCATGAATGTCTTTAGATTGCTCTGATTAAATCTGAAGTAGATCCGATAAATTCCCTAGGAGGAGTTCGTTCAAATACAAGGCGAAAAATCACAGAAAATGAGCACAGAATGCAAAATGGTTGACTTTGATGGCAAGCCACAGACACGCCATTTGACGGAATGTCGTAAATAGCACAACTTTTAATCATGAATGGCTTTAGATTGCGCTGATTAAATTTGAAGTAGATCCGATAAATTGCCTAGGAGGAGTTCGTTCAAATACAACGCGAAAAATCACAGAAAATGACCAAAAAAATCTAAATGGCTGACTTTGATGCCACGCCACGGACACGCCCTTCAACGTACATGCACAAATAGCACAACTTTTAATCAGCACCATTTTTTGACTGTACTCACAAATTTTGAAGCAGATCTGATAAATTCCCTAGGAGGAGTTCGTTCAAATAAAATGCGAAAAGTTCGCCGAAAGTGAAAATGAAAATCAAAATGGCCGACTTCCTGTGGGGTTTGGGGTATAGGTCCAAGAGGCTTTTTTGTACGTCCCGGCATGTTACACCTGCCTACCGAGTTTCGTACATATCGGTGAAACTTGGCGCCGAGGCTTCTGTTTTTTTATCCTGTAGGGGGCGCTACACACATGACGAACACGATTTTTGGTATGTGAGCTTCAGGCACCACTCTACACGTGCCCTGTGAATTTCATATTAATAACTATTACAGTATTCGCACAGTGATTTACCATGCCAGAAGAGCGCCACCTAGTGTCGTATTTTGTTTTTCCTTTTTAAGGGAGCCTCAGGGAGCCAGGGGGAAGCATCATACCAAGTTTCATCTTAAGCACATATACCGTTGTAGAGATATAAACTTCTTCATTTTAAAGAGCGCCACCTAGTGGCAATGGCCTGAAATTGTGCATGATGCTTAAGGAAGACATGTGGAACTATGGACCCAAGTTTGGTGTCAATCGGACATACCAATGTGCAGAAATGGTCCACTTCCTTTTTTGACGAAAAATCTACAGGAAGTTGGAATTTTATAGCGTGCTTATTTTTTTAAATTTCAAAAATGTTCAAATTAGCCTTTTTGCCAGGGCGGTCCCCAGGTAGTAGGTGAAAAATTTTGTGCGAATCGGAAAAAGCGTGTAGGAGGAACACTTAAAAGTAGTTTATGGACATTTTGCGCTCTAGAAAAAAAAAAAATTCTATGCGGAAGTGGGCGGGGCTTATATGGGGAGATTCAGCTCCATTCACCGAATGCGTGGATGTAAGTTTTTTGAATGTGCGACAAACTATGCAGAAGTTATTAGCCTAAACGCATTTTTTATCATAGTAGCGCCACCTAGTGGCAGACCCGAAAGCGACACATGTAATATCCCCATTTTCACCAGGCCTGATCACTTTGCCAAATAAAATTGACTTTTCGTATATGTTTAGGGGGGCAAAAATGCAGTCAATGGGGGCTAAAAATAATAGGTAAGAAGAAGAAGAAACATAGCAAAAACAATAGGGACCTCCAGCGGTCGCTTGCGAGGTCCCTAATAATAACACTAATATCAGTGATATTAGCAATGGCAGTCAAGCAAGACCATGGCAGGAGGCTTCATCAGGATCCATGAGAACCTGTGAGACGAGAAAGCACAAGAACTCTGGGGAAGAAGTTAACTTTTTTTTTTTAAGTTAGTAACATGCATTAATGGCAATAACAAGTAGCCCTGCTTTTAGAGAATGCAGTGTTCTAGAGGGGTAATGGAAGATATGAAGGGGCCTGACCATGAAGAGCTTTGTAGGTGAGGAGGAGGATTTTAAATTCTATTCTAAATTTTACAGGAAGCCAGTGCAGAGAAGCTAGTACAGGAGAGACGTGATCTCTTTTTCTAGTTCCTGTCAGTACTGCAGCGTTCTGAATTAATTGGAGCGTCTTATTGAACTTATTGGGACAGCCTGATAATAAGGAGTTGCAGTAATCCAGCCTAGAAGTAACAAATGCATGGATTAGTTTTTCTGCATCCGTTTGTGACAGGATGTGTCTAATTTTTGTAATATTACGTAAATGAAAGAAGGCAGTCCTAGAGGTCTGCTTTATGTGGGAGTTAAAAGACAAATCCTGATCAAAGATAACTCCAAGATTCCTGACAGTGGTGCTAGAGGCCAAGGTAATGCCATCTAGAGTAATTATATCTTTAGACAGTGAGTCTGTAAGGTTTTTGGGGCCAAGTAGAAGAATTTCGAGTTTAACATCAGAAAATTGCAGCTCATCCAGGATTTTATGTCCTTAAGACATGTTTATAATTTAGATAATTGATTAATTTCATCGGGCTTGATCGATGGATATAACTGCATATCATCTGCATAGCAATGAAAGTTAATGGAGTGCTTTCTTATAATGTTGCCTAAAGTAGGGATGCACGATAACTTTGAAACCCATAACGATAACCGATAACACACACACACATACATATATATGATCATGACCTAAGATCATGACATTAATACAATGAACAAACCCAGAAACACTTTTGACTCTTTAAATGGAGATATTGGCAAGCCTCTCAAAAAACAAATAAAGGCCCCTTGAACTGATGCAAATACATGCATCGGGATTACAAACTGAAACAGTGCATTCCAGAAGTTAAAAAAAATTAAAATATATAGAAATTTTTTAAATTCACGTTTCTATTGTTTATGTGTAACATGTGGAAAAATACTGTGGATGTCAATTCAAGTCAGCAACTACCAAAATTATGAGAATTATGAGTTCTTTTCGACATGAGGGGGTATTCTTCAATTCAGTCAGAAAGAGTTTTTCTGATTATGCCAACGTCACTTGAACACAGCATTCACTGCAGACCATTCAGGTCTCATAGCGGGAGCGGGGCACTGCCGTGCTGATAAAATTATATATGTTATCGGGGCTATTTGTCATGATATCGGACTTATCGGAATGACGTAATAATTTCCTGTTATCGGCCCGATAATTATCGTGCACCCCTAGCCTAAAAGGGAGCATATATAAAGTAAATAGTATTGGTCCAAGTACAGAACCTTGTGGAACTCCATGACTAACTGTAGTATTTATGGAAGATTCATCGTTAACGTGTACAAACTGAGAACGATCTGATAAGTATGACTTAAACCAGCTTAGTGCGGTTCCTTTAATGCCAATTTGATGCTCAAGTTTCTGTAAAAGAATATCATGGTCAATGGTGTCAAATGCAGCACTAAGATCTAATAAGACAAGTACAGAGACAAGTGCACATACACTTAGAATGGACTTTACAGTGAAGTAGGAGACATCTTGAATTTAAATGAACAACATTTACATATTCATAGATTCTGGAATTTGTATTGTGGTAGAAGGGAGTAGATGTCTTTTTAAGGATTTTATTGTGAAAATTTGAGTTTTATTGTGGAAAGAAAGGTATCAGATACTTTATTGTTCCAAGTAGACTATTTTTCTCTTTGTCTTTAAGTCCCAGTAGGAGAGTATTGTTACTTTATGCAGTGTCAAACTTTTGTTGTGAAAGCTTTGTAACTGTATGCCACCAAACTGCCCCAGCTTTCCTTTATGATGCTGAGAAACAGCGTAATTATCAGACCATCAAAAAAACTTTCCTTCTTGACAAACAGGCACACACCCCCTGAATAAATATAGAAATTAAGAAACATAACTTAATGTCTTGTCATTTTTTTACTCTGCTACACTTGGACACTATATAAACAGGCAACAACTTAGTACTGTATATGTCATATCTAATAAATGATCAACTACTACCTATCAGCTACGTAAATCAAACTCTAATAGTATCCCATAAGCCAGTCCAAATCCAATAATCACCAACTCTGGTGTGTAAACATCTAACAGAATGTGTGAAAATATTCTGGCTTTACGCTGTCGCTGCCTCTCTGATGTCCCTGACCTCCCTCGCTCCTCTACCTGCTTCATGCCTCTCCTGTCCCTGCCCTGCTGTGTCCTAATCTTCCGTGGAGTTTGAGTCTTGTTTGGACCCTCTGCAAATCCCCTTTTAACTGTATTCCCTGTTGTCAAACTAGTCAAAATAAACCCTTAATTCACCGTAGTTAGATGTGAAAATACACTGGCTCTACAGCTGTTTTTCCCCTCACTCAATCTTTGGTTATATTTGTACTGCGCTGCTAAGTGTCTGTTGCTGAGCAGCAGCTGTCATTCTTTGGAGGCAGACCATTACATTTGCAAAGTGGTTGATATATGAGTCCAATTGCCCAACAATAATTAAGACACCATTCTTTTCTTCCATGCCATCCATCACTTTTGTTCTACAGAGATACAATAAAAGGAAGTATGATGAAATGTGAATGTGAAATTCTTTAAATCAGAAGAACACCATTGTGTAGGCCTTGCTGTTGAGTTCTTCTAAATGGTGATACGATTTTTTTTTGTCCACAGCGGTATGTATAATGTGTCGACACGTGAGAAGAGTGCCACAGTATCTGTGGGCCTTTTTCCCAATCATGAAACGCTGGATATCTGGGTAGAGGCGCACAACACACTTGGAAAAGTAGAGTCTGAGCATCTCAAAGAAGAGGCCAACTGGTTTGGTAAGTCAAATGTTGTAGTAAGGTTTTCACAGTACTGCTATATTAATGTCTACTTGTTCTGATCTAGTCTGGTGTAAAACATGCATACCGGTACATCAGTGGTGGTAGTAAAGTCTTGGTCAAACTTCTGTCTTGTAATCTGGAGTCTTGAAGTCATTGTGGTTCGCACACTATGTGACTGCAACAGGGGATCATACACTACAAGATCTTTCACAAGGAGTAATCCCAGAGTCTGTCTGGGACGATGTTTCATCAGGAGTATACTAACACCATTAATAACAAGGACATCAAGTTTAATTAAGAAAGTAGTGAGCAGTGAATGAATGGGTCAGGATACTGGTTGATTAATCATATTGGGATCTGAGACTGCTTATTTTCTGTCACCTTAGTTCAGACTTGAGTGGGTATGTTTGATGAAAACTTTGTTTTGTCTCAGTGGCGTTTCACATTGGCACTTTTAATAATTAATTAATTTGACAGATAAAAGTAATTCATGAAGCACTACAACACAGGACCATGAAATAATTAATTAAATAGTGAAATAATTATATATGTTTTTTACATAAAATGAATCGGTATTTTCATGAATTAATGACACATTTAATAACAAATGTATGTATTTAATTCCAATTTTAATTAATTAATGACACATTTAAGTAATTATTTAATGGTGTATTTATTTAATTTATTTAATTTTGGCACTTTTAGTCCTCCATAGAAATCCAGGCTAAAATCATGTAGTGTGAACTTTGCATAATACGACTAGTGATCATGATACATCATGAGCATATGTCTCCAGTGGATGTACAGCTGGAACAACACTGGCAGCACATTGATTGTAAGACAGCAGAGACCCAATTCAGATGAATGGTGTATTAAAGAGGCGATTAAAGCAGCAGAGAAAGGGGTACAATGGCATGTCACGACAAGAAATGTGAACGTTACATTACACTTGTAACCAATAGTGAGCATGTTAACTGAAGAGCCTGTAATCGTTATATGGCCGACGATGTTGCCTTTCTGGTAAAATTCATAGATCGTGATAAATCTATTAATTGGCATTTTGAGATAAATTGGCTTCGGCTGATGTCTTTGCTTCCAAGGCCAATAAACAAGAAATCGTCGGCAGGCAGCCTGGTCAGCGTTCCTGCTGTGGAACGATATTAGCAAGGTGGTGAAAAAGTTGGTTTTGAGCCCTGTACTATAACTCCGTTATAGTGTGGAGCGACACATTTATGTATATGCCTGAAGTTTCTATAGAATAGAACAGAATTAAACATTACTGTTCTTTGTTTTGCTATTGGCATTATATATTGGCAATCTGTTGCCCTTTTCTCTAAATATTTGCATTTGCCATTAAAAAAAAAAAAAAAAAACATATTGTTCAACCGCTATTCATAAACAGTTAAAAGCCAAGTCTGGGGCGCCTGGATAGCTCACCTGGTAGAGCTGGCGCCCCATGTACAAAGTGACACAAAGTACAAAGCTGAGTCTTACCGCAGCGGCCCAGGGTTCAAATCCCACATGTGGCCCTATGCTGCCATCCCCTCTCTCGACCCTCTTTCCTGTCTTTCTTCAGCTGTCCAATCCAATAAAGGGGAAAAGCCCCAAAAACAATATAATATAAAAAAAGAGAGCCAAGTCGTGTGTTGTTGGGTCTCTGTAAATAATGTTATAAGGAGTTCGGTGTAGACCTGCTCTATTTGAAAAGTGTCCTGAGATAACTTCTGTTATGAACTGGCACTATACAAATAAAACTTAATTGAATTGGATTGAATTGAATTGAATTGAATATTAAGTCAGTGTTGAGTCTTTCATCAATGTTAGTCAAGCAAGTCTCAAGTCCTCAAATTTGCGACTCGAAGTCCCCAACCTCATACATACTATTGATATACCATAGTCACAGTGCTGACTCCAGTGCATTAATGATGTTTGATGATCACCATCTCGTGTGTTGTTAGCTTGTTGTGTCTTTTGTTGCAGTGAAAACAAACCCTCCATCAGATGTCAGAGTCATTTCAGAAAGGACTTTTCCCACCTCCCTTCTGATAAATTGGGCTCATCCTATTGATGAAGTTTATGTGAAATTAACATATGAAATCAGATTCTGCCCAAGTGGATCTCAAAATTGGACTTATGTAAGTATGTTTCTTTCTCATTTGAACATGTTTATATGTTGTGCTAGTTATGTCCACACCTGAATATTTGAGAAATAATACCTCCATTTTCCAGCACTGGCACAAATTAAATGCAAATACGGATGTGCTCCATGCAGTAGCATGGACAGTGAGCAGCCGTTCAGCTCTGTGTCTCAAATATTGGATGAGAAGAGAAATAGACTGAGCTACAACAAGGCAGAGAGTCTTATCTTTGTAGATTTCTTTGTTTCCCAGGCACAAAAGGGGGAATTAATAGTAACAAAGACCGTTGTTTGGCATCGTCAATTACCAAATTGTTTTTTAAACACAGTATCGGCCCAAAATTTCACCATCAATGCACCCCTAGTTGGCATTCTAACATTATGCTTCCAGGATTAAGCTAGAGGTACAAATGCAGAGCTGCTAGCAACACTGTAGAATAGTTCTTCCTCTGCTGTATTTCTGACAGAATAGCTGATGTGGTTGCACTTTCTACCTCCAGTGGTTGATACATGTGTCAGTTCCAACTAAATATGGGATCTGGAGTATTACAACTAGTAATCACAGGTGTCAGCACATCAACCTGGACTGAATAGGATAACTTTAATGTTGATCTTTATTTGTGTCTTTCCTCCATGTTGTACATAGTTTTGTGTTATTTTGTATATATGGATGTCTGGTCAAACGAACAGTCTGCTGTTGGTCTTTTCTGTAAAAGAGATGTGTTTGATATCTTTTAGGTACCGCTTGTGGACACTGCCAAAGGTATACAGTCCTTCAGACTACAGAACCTTCAGCCAGACACAGTTTATGTCACTCAGGTGCGCTGCAAAAATGCTATAGAACGTGGTTACTGGAGCAACTGGAGTACCAATGCTACTGAGAGAACACCTGAGGACCGTGAGTTATATGGCTGCCAGTTCAGACTACTTTCACGAAGTAAAAGTATTTGACCACCAAATAAAGCATCCTGTTAAAAGACAATGGAATTACTTCTGACTAATAAATTGTTTACTTATTATACCTGATGGATGCAATGAGTCTTAAATCTATGAGACCCTCCTTGCACCCAGTCAGCACTGACATCAAGTTAAGCTAGCTGCATCCAAAGAACATTTGCATTGTTCAAATAAAGCACTGTATTTGGCTTGACTGTCACAGTGCTTGCAGGCTTGCAAACACAGTTTGTGTTTCCTGTAACCTAATTGATGCTCGCCAGAACAACAACAAAAATATTACAGTGGTAAAAAGACTGTGAATCTACCCACTTTAATGTTGAATTGTAGATTTGTGAGTTATGTTGTCCTTTTGCTCTTTTGGTAAAGTAAAAGATTTTCTTTACTTTTCTTTTTCTTTGGCCTAGGACCAAGAAGTAAACCGGATTTATGGAAAATCATCACTGAGGATGAGAGCACAGCACGACAAGTGTGGTTTATTTGTAAGGTAAATAACACACTCAATTTAACACAAATAAAAATAATGATAATTTCTAACTGCTTGGTGAAAAGGAGAAGATGGTTTATATTTTACAGTTAATTTGGGATGTCGTTATCAGATTTCTACAATGGTCGCCGATCAAGGCCTTTTTTTAACTGATCGGCATCGGCTATGCTGACCTTTATTGATCCGATCCCATCTTTTGTTTTACATCAGCTGCCACACAGCTAGTTTTATTCATGAAGCTTTGGACTGGTGCAGCCATCGTCAACTCTGGCCGCTTCTTTCCTCCACTCTGATCTGTGTGTGAGAGCACAAGCAGCCCTCTTCTCTGAGTGGCACATATCTGACACAAACACAAACCAATGCCAGTGAAAAATTAATCAATAAATCAGTTTCATGGTTGGGCATTGAGTACAGAGATGCAGTAAAAGGATATGCATACTTAGGAAACCAGTTCAGAAAAAATTATGGACTTGGATACACACTGCCTGCAGTGGGTTCCGGTAGCTGCAGTGCAGCCGCTATAATGCACACTTAGTTTATTCACCAGGTTGCTGCGGTGTACAAAACAGGTTCCACCCATTGCTCACCACAGCCAGGAGACATGCTACAGTGCATCTCTGCTCTGCCCCCAAACAAAGGTTCATTTCAGATGCTAAATCGTTATCAGTCAATCATGTACTGCTACTGTACAGGGTTCTCAAGCAATGGTTTAGTTCTTTAGTTCTTCCCTGATAGCCAGGAGGAGACTGTTATTTGATCTTTTTATTAAAAGATTTCCCTGAAGAGTCTAAAACCTACAATAAATGTATCCTAATAAAATACAATAGTGTTGTCTGCAGCCAGCCTTTATTGTCTAATAAAATAACACATGCATTGCATTTGGTGGCTTATTCTTTTAATGGGATTAACAAGGATTAACAACATAAAGCGGCTGTCAGAGATCAGAAATGTAGTTAGTTGTTTGCAGAGTTTGAGCATAAACTCCCCTCACTGTGTTGATTGAATGTGTTTTGTTTTTTATTTGGAGGGTAAGTGAGTTCTGTGGAACAAAGGAATGAGCAATTTCTAGTTGTGAATAAGGCCAACTTTATCCTATAGAGTAGTTTTATCATCATTAAAATAGTTGAATCGACAGCACAGACTGAAATAAAATGTTGATATTTAAAAATATATTAAAATGTATCCAAAGGGTTTCTTTGACATAAGGTATCCCCTTTTTTTTTTTAAAGAAACACCTTTTTGCTTTGCAGTCAGTTGTTTTTCTATACAAGGCTTGGTAATGTTATACTTACAGTGTATGACTTGTGCCCTGCCAGGATCCTGTGCTCTCCAACGGGAGGATAATAAGATTTGACATAAAGATTCAAGACCACAAGGATAGAGTCAAGAATAGAAGTGGGGAGTTGGAGAGTATCCCAGTCAACAGGTCGAAGGCAGACCCCAGCCCTAGCCAGCAGAAAATCACTATTCTTAAACAGATTTCCCTGGATGACAAGAAATCCGTGGAAGTGTACGTCACTGCTGTCAATTCTGTGGGAAAATCTCCTGAGGCATCGTTGGTCATCACTGAAAAAGTAAATGGTAGGTGTTCATGGTGAAAAGGCACATGTGCAATGTCTAAACCAATGTGTTATTTTCAGTCTAGACTCACACACTAGCATGGAGGATGTGCTGCAACACTATACACCACTGTCATATGCTACCATCATAGCCACTCCTTGGTGGCTCATCTTGACTACTGTAAGGACTTCTGTTAGTGGTAACACGTCTGTTGAGTTGTCAGTGGAAGAGGTTATTGTTGAGATGAAGCAATATTTGGACTTCAAGACGACACAGTACTCTATTTCAATTTATCTTTCAAATAGGGCTATGGTTTTTTTATATGTTTTTTTAAGGATTGTGAGGGGAGAGGTGGGTGACCTCACTCTTGTAAATGGGAGATAGAAATTCTGAGTAAGTAAAGTCTTGTATAGACGTCTTGTTGAGAAATTAGACTTTAAGCAGCATTCCATCAACAATGTGATGTCAAGTGTATTTTTTGTGTGTGTGTTACAGAGCTCCCTACAGTGAAAGACCTGAAAGTGCAGCGAAATGGGGGCCAGCTGTGTCTGGAATGGAAACCCCCTGCCAGACCTGTGTCAGAGTATGTGGTGGAGTGGGTCAGTGGTAGTCGGATAGACTGGCAGAGAGAAAAAGGAAGTACCAAAAACACTGTCATCAAAGGTAATCTCTTTAATCTACAGAATATTTGTGTGGAGTTGGTAGTATGACTTTAACATGCCATTAAAGGGATATTTCACCCAAAATCTGTCCTCTATGAGAATGAAGCAGGGCTGTAACTATGACGATATGTCATTTGATTTTATTCTCTGTCATTTATTTAAGTGTGTCATAAATCACATATTTCTGGGGTTCATTTCAGAAAAATATGAGCTCTGAAGCAGTTGATGAAGCATGTATACAATGCAAAACCAGCATTTACTCAGAAACTACTGTATTCAAAAAACACAACTCACATTTTAGTTGTGGAAACAATCCAAAGTGACACAATAGTGGTACCAAATGCTTTACTAGTCCGTACTTATAAAATATCCACCGTCTCCACGTAACAGATAACACTTGTCTCTCTCTTTAGATTTTGTCACATGCTTAATTGAAAATGTGTACGAAGGTTAAAGGTTTTATAAAGGTTATAAATGGAGAAAAATAAACAATCAGCATATTGCTGCCACCATCGCAAGAAAATATTTGCTCATTTTGGGAATTTTTTTTGGGCCCCTGTGAAAACTTGACAGCGGCTGTTTTTAAGTTTGTAGACTACAAACTTTCACAAAACCACCTTTGAAGCCAACTGGGTGTGTCATACTAGATTTTTATTTTTACATGTATTTGAGTGTCTACAGGCTTCACTCTAAACTAAAATTTAATTTGATCTCAATGTCAAATCTAGGCAGCCTGGAGAAGTTTGTCAGTTACACTGTATCTGTGTATCCATTATACTCTGGAGTGACTGGGAAGCCAGCGAGTAAAGAAGCCTTTCTGGAGGAAGGAGGTAAGATTACATTCTTATCAGTGACTCATAAGAAGTAAATCATTGTATTTTTAGGTATTGTGAATATTAAAAGCAAGTAAAAATTGGATCATAAAAATACTTTGCAGTCCCAAATGTTCATTTTTTTCTATAAGAATTAAATTTAAAGGTCCATTGCGTAACATTTAGGAGGCAAAAATGAAATATAATATCCATAAGCATGTTTTCATCACAGCCTTAATATTCCTTTTTATGTTGCATTTACTGTGTCATATTTAAATGAAAAACATATGTTTAATAACAGTTATTTTGCCTTTTAATCGTTTTTCTTTGTGACATGAATTTTTCATTCCACAATTAACATTACATCACAACACAGACAAAGTGAAGATTTGTTTTGCATCAGCTCAGGGCTGTCCAGCAGAGGACAACGTAAACCTTCTAGTACTGAGTACACGCTGTCCAGGTCTTCATGACCAGTGTGTGTTGCCATCTGCTGGACAACCCTGAAATGATGCAATATACCTCTATTTGTTTTTCTGTGTTGTGATTTTAATGCAAAAATCAAGTCACAACCAAAAACAATGCAATATGTTATTAAAGGCATACATTTCAATTAATGTCATTGAACATATGTTTTTTATACTAGTATGGCACAGTAAATGCATACATAAAAAGATCATATAAATAGCTATGTGTACTGTATTTCACTTTGTTTGATTAGTTTTCATTTAGGCATTTTAAATCTTCCATAAATGCATGGAGCGTGCTACCTGGTAAATTCCAAATATTTTTTCTGTGATCTGTCATATTTAATTAAATGTTTATTATTGTTGTTAGTTGTTTAGTTTCTGTGTTCTCCTGTCTAATATTTATTCATACATACGTCTGTTTGTTTTACACAACAAAATGTCATCTCCATTGCCATTATTTCCCCCGAAAGCCTTGGTGTTTGATTATGTGAAGGCCATCTGATCTATATTTGAATTCAGATAAGCCACAGTTAAATGGTGAATGGACTGCACTTTTATAGCTGCACTGCTATATAACTATAGTTGTATGAGTAGAACACATTATGTTGCTGTTGTGTTTGCAGTTCCATTGATAGGCCCAGCTGTTAAACTTAAAGGTAAACCAGGATGTAACGAGGCAGAGCTGGTGTGGAACGAGATTCCCCAACACAGCCGACGAGGCTTCATCACAAACTACACGATATTCTACACAAGTGGGACCAAAACACACAGTATGTAGCTGTCATGTGGTATCCTGAATATTTGCATTTACAGCTTTCTATTTAGTGTGGGACTACAGGGATGGTTTTCCTGACAGTCTTAGGTGCTGATCTCTGATTTGCTCACTTGCAGACATAACAGTGCCAGCTAACACCACCTCATACACTCTGAAGTCACTGTCACGCAGCACCAAGTATGATACTTGGGTCATAGCTTCAACCATCCGAGGCTCAAAGAGAGGCTTTAATCACTCATTTACTACTCTGAAATATGGTGAGTAACCTTTCCTGTTTCAAAAATGTCCCAAAGTCAGTTTGTACTTCCAGATATTAGAACAGTATAATGCAGCACACAGTAAAAGTTTATATCAGACAGCATATTGATGCTGCTTATTGATACCTTCAACATGGTTGGAAAAACCTTTTTAAAAAAAATCTAAACATTTCATCTGTTTTGAGAAAAAAGGTCATTATATTATGGGGTGGGGGACTTTTTCTGTACATAATAGGCATGCTCTGTGTGAAAGTACTCATGACAAAAACAACTATATATGAATGTGTGAATTAATTGCCCAAAATAAACCCCCTAGTGCATAGGGGCCTAAAGTTACAGATACACAACATTTTGCGAGTAACCTCTGTAAATGATGACTGTTTGTTTGTTTTAAATGCCAATTTAAAGCCATGTATCGAAACTGACCTTGTACTTTTATAGGGATGTGTGTGATTAGTCCACTGGTCAGTTGCATGTTATTAATCTCGGTAGTCAACACCAGAAATACTAAAAGTAAATTTACTAATTTAGGTGCAGCCACAGCAGCGTTCTCTTTGTCCCATTTTAGAAATTATAGTCATAACATTTGGTTCCTGCAGTCTGCTTTGTGATTCTAGCAGCTGATTTCACGGTCTACCATCTAACCTCACACAACTAATCTGTTAGATATAGCACTATTCAGTGGAAAGAGGATGGCGGAACTGCCTTTGAAAAGAAAATATTCAGAGTATGGTACGTTACGATGACATTGAACACTTACAAACTATCACATCATACATATAACTGCTGTCAGCCTCGCTGTATATTCTGACCTCTGTGACTTCACATCATCTCCGTTGCCGTCGTCTACATTTTGTCGTTAAAAAGTTAATCCAAAAATCTGAAATAAAAATTCAAAGGGCATCGTATCTGGTTATCCCACAACGATCAAGCAGCAGCCAGGAGAGCCATCTCTCTTTATCGAAATGAACAGCATGAAATGCGTCTAACAGGACATACTGAAGAAAATAACAGTAACTTGTGAAGCCTGGCAGTGTGTGCCGTTTATGTACTTTAAATTGTGATCAATTTTAGACTGTTTTCTTAGCATTTAAATACTTGTAGACAAGTAAAAAAAAAAAAAATTAATTTAATCAAAGGCAGATTTAAATTTGTCGCCAGGAACATCCCTAGTACTTTAATATATTACCTGCTGTTCCTTTAAGAAATCCAGCACTGATATAAAACATGCAGTGAATGCCTGGATCCACAGGGAGATAAACAACAGCAGATGTGATGCGGATTAAACTCACACACGTTGATTGGCTATTGTTATTTACATGCATTATGGCAGGAACTGAACAGAAGTTGAGCTAATGTGGTTGCAGTTTATATTATCACTGAGTACCTATCTACAAATACTTGGGAGTCGTGATCGGCAACAGGCTGGATTGGAAATCTAACACCGAGGCTGTGTACAAGAAGGGAATGAGCAGACTCTATTTCCTGAGGAAGCTGAGATCCTTCAACGTGTGGAGCAAGATGTTGGAGATCTTCTACCAGTCTGTTGTTGCCAGTGCCATTTTCTTTGCTGCTGTGTGTTGGGGCAGCTGCATCAGAGCCAGCGACACCAACAGACTTGATAAAATCATCAAGAAGGCTTTTGAGTCCGTGGTGGAGTGGAGAATTCTGAATAAACTGTTATCCATCACAGACAATGATCAGCACCCTCTCCATCACACAGTGGTCAGACAGCGGAGCACCTTCTCTCACAGGCTGCTCCAGCTCCGCTGTTGAAGGGACAGATACAGGAAATCTTTCCTGCCACATGCCATCACACTGTACAGTAACAGCTAAAACTCTGGTCATAACAATACAGTCTCCAAGCACCTTATATGTTTTTACATAATCTGTTCACTGCACCTTATATTTTTACTTTGCACTACAATTGTACCGCTTATTTATACATTTTTATACATTTTTTATATTGCATTTTATATTGCTTTTTTGATATGTCTAGGTTGTTCTCTTTACTTCATTGTGTTGTTACTGTGTGTAATGCTGCTGCTACACTGCAAGTTCCCTGCTTGGGATCAATAAAGTATATCTATCTATCTATCTATCTATCTATCTATCTTGGTAGAATGTTACCGTCTATAAATATTCTCTTTGTTTCCCCCCAGGAACAGGAGAGATCGAGGGCATTGTGGTAGGAGTGTGCCTCAGCTTTCTGTTTGTTGTCCTACTCACCATGCTGCTCTGTATCTACAAAAAAGATGTGTAAGTTACACTTAAACATGTAAACATGTTGTTCTCAGAGCACGGTTTGAAGCTCTCCACGTCTTTGAGGAGAAACGTAGTGTCCCCATTAGACTCATTGCTCTCAACTCGTTTTCGAGTGTGGCATTCATAACCACTGTAAACCCTTTAGCCCTCAGACGTGGTCATATGAACTAGTTCATTTTGAGCATGCCCGGCCTTAAGCCACAGGGCAGTCCACAGTTGTAACTATTGAACACTGTCCATAGTAAACCCCACTGCTCAGATACATTGGGACTAAAAATGTTCTTATTACACATTTTATAGTAGTATGGTATTTTTAGCCTTGATATAGGTGATACAGTATATAACCCTCAGTGTTTCCTTTCTTACAGGATCAAGGACAATTTCTGGCCTCGGATTCCAAACCCTGGAGAGAGCACCATTGGAAACTGGTCTCCTGATTATCCTCTGAAAGTAAGGTCCTCTTTTGCATTGCCGCACACAAGGGTTCCAACATGTACAGTATTTAATGTAATGTGTGTCAGTGAATATAATAAGAGTATAACCAGTAAAAGGTTTGCTGACCGCTTTCTGTTTGCTCTCAACCACTTTGCAAAACTGCAAGTAGAGACAAAGGCACAAAATAAAAGCCCACATTTCTGGTCGGAAGGAGATAAGTTGTTGTTATGTTATGTTAATTAATTAATTAATTAATTCTAACTTAGTGTCCATGTGGTCCTGCTGCATAATCTCTGGGTTGCCTTCATGAAATCAGGGATAATCAAAAATAAATTTTAACTTCAGGATTGATAGTCTTATGCATATTAATACTAAGACTATGTAGTGGACACATCTCCATAAGGCCCTTTTTAAAAATAAAAAAAAAACTTTACAGCTGAAATCAACATGTTGACAGTCCCCGTTCATAACTGTACAGGGGGTGATTTTTTATATAACTCACCCCTTTCAATTATATTATGGCTAAGTTATTCATAATTAAGGGCATGGCCACTTTGAGTGACAGGTAGGTGCTGTCATAGGGGGCTGTCTTTAACCAGGCTTCATTCAGCACGCTGCCACTCCACCTCTTTTCCCATTTTTGGATTTTGGAGCCAGGCGTCTGGACAGCCAAGATGCCAGAGCTGACCACACCCCAAAGGCTCTTCAGAAACCTAGGGGTGACATCACAGTCAGTGTTCATTTTGAATTATCAAGGAATCAAGGAAATGTATTTATCATTATACAACACAAGGTTGTACAACAAAATTAAACTTTGTAGTTCCTTTATACTACACATAAAATAGAATAACAAAAACATTTTATAAAATAAACAATAGTTATTTATATACATATATACATGCAAGAATACAGTGCTGTGAAAAAGTATTTGCCCTTTATTTTTTTGCATATTTGTCACACTTAAATGTTTCAGATCATCAAACTAATTTTAATATTAGACAAAGATAACCCGAGTAAATACAAAATGCAGTTTTTAAATAATTATTTATTAAGGGAAAAAAGCTATCCAAACCTACCTGGCCCTATGTGAAAAAGTAATTGCACCCTAAACCTAAAAACTGGTTGTACCACCCTCAGCAGTAACAACTGCAATCAAGCGTTTGTGATAACTGGCAATACGTCTTTCACATCGCTATGGAGGAATTTTGGCCCACTCTTCTTTGCAGTTGTTTTAATTCAGCCACATTGGAAGGTTTTGAAGAATGAACAGTCTGTTTAAGGGCGGATTTAAGTCCAAACTTTGACTAGGACACTCCAAAACCTTCTTTTTTTTAAGCCATTCAGAGGTGGACCTGCTGGTGTGTTTCGGATCATTGTCCTGCTGCATAACCCAAGTGTGCTTGAACTTAAGGTCACAAACTGATGGTTGGACATTCTCCTTCAGGATTTTCTGGTAGAGAGCAGCATTCATGGTTCCATTAATTATGGCAAGTCGTCCAGGTCCACAAGCAGCAAAGCAGCCCCAGAACATCACACTACTACGTCAGTCCAGAATATTTTCCCAAAAGTCTTGGGGATCATCACAATGTTTTTGTGAGACGAGTCTTTGTGTTCTTTTTGGTCAGCAGTGGTTTTCGCCTTGGAACTCTGCCATGGATGACATTTTTGCCCAGTCTCTTTGTTGAATCATAAACACTGACCTCAACTGAGGCAAGTGAGGCCTGCAGTACTTTAGATGTTGTTCCGGGTTCTTTTGTGACCTCCTGGATCAGACGTCAATGCACTCTTGGAGTAATTTTGGTAGGCCGGCAACCTGTGGGAAGGTTGACCACTGTTCCAAGTTTTCTCCATTTGCGGATAACAACTCACCTCATGTTTCCCAAAGCCTTAGAAATGGCTTTGTAACCCTTTCCAGACTGATAGACTTCAATTATTTTCTTTCTCATCTGTTCTTAAATTTCGTTACATCGCGGCAGTATGTGTTGCTTTTTTAGATCTTTTAGCCTACTTCACTTTGTCAGACAGGTTCTATTTAAGTGATTTCTTGATTTAACATGTCTGGCAGGAATCAGGCCTGGTTGTGGCTAGTGAAATTGAACTCAGCTTTCCAAAATATTTGGTTAATCACAGTTAATTCATGATTTAACAAGGGGGGGCAATTACTTTTTCACATAGGGCCAGGTAGGTTTGGATAGCTTTTTTCCCTGAATAAATGAAATCATCATTCAAAAACTGCATTTTGTATTTACTCGGGTTGTCTAATATTAAAATTGGTTTAAAACTGGAGACCTGGCTACGCTAAAAGTGACATTTCTTACAATATATAGCATGCCAAATATTTTTTGAACGTGAGATGTGTGTAAATGCAGCTAGATGGTTAATCAGGTGGCAGAGTGCTGCTCTACAGCCAACAGTCCTCCAGAACCGAGTGGACAGAGTAGTCAGGCAGATTCCTGTTGGTTATACTCTTCACAGGGCTGCCGGAAAACACCTTAGAGCCTCCTTAGGATTTAGAGCTCACTTGAAAGCACCCTTGATATTCCCAGAGAAGAGAAGTTTATTTTATGTGGAGGTCAGTGCATCCATTTATCTTGGTCAGTACAACAGTTAGTTGTGTGTGATTTGGGACGCCCAAAAGAATGAACACTGTCCATATTTGTCTGTTTTACTGCCATGATGACATCTGACACAGTGTCCACAGGCAAAAATGTAGTGTTAAACGTTCCAACTTGTCCTCCTCTACAGACAGAGACACCGAAGGAGAACTGTCTGTCTGGCATCAGCGTGCTTGATGTAGATGTGTGTGATGGAAAATGTGGGTCGGAGGACGACAAGGCCAGTCTGCCTCTTAAGAAGGACAAGTACCTGTCTGAAGAGCACAGCAGCGGCATTGGCGGCTCCTCCTGCATGTCCTCACCTCGCCAGAGTGTGTCTGACAGTGACGAGGGTGGGGACATGGCTGATACCACAGCCAGTACTGTCCAGTACTCCTCGGTGGTGGCCTCCTCCAACGGTTACAAGGGCCAGACCCCGAACTTCCAACCACAGCAGGCTATTTTTTCACGGTCTGAGTCGACACAGCCCCTGCTGGATTCTGAGGAGAACCCGGACATGTTGCTGCAGGAGGGCAGCAGACAGTCCCAGCATTTCTCCCGACAGCCCAGCTTCACACACACTGCAGGGAATGAAGACAGCGCAGATCCTGCTGACTTCAACCAGCTGGAGATGGAGCAGCAAGTACTGGAGCCTCTGGACTTCTGTCCTCTGGAAGAGGAGACGACACCGACAGACGGCCAGTCAGCTGACGGGCTGCCAGCGGCCCTAGTCTCCAGCTACATGCCTCAGTTGGGTGGCTACAGGCCACAGTAAGAACACAGACAGACCAAGATGTGTCATCTATGTGAATGATTCTGTGCCTTTGTTAATGTCAAATGTCTTTTTGAAGACTGTATCAGTATGTCTTTTGCGCTTACCCAGTTAAAATAGTCGAGGATGCTGGGGGAGAGTACTCTGTTAAGTGCAATGTGAATTAGAGCTTGTAGCAGTAGTTTGCTAGCTTTGCACTACTGAAAAATGATGCAGCCATATCTTTATTGTAACTCAATGCCCAAAACATACTCCACATGTATGTGGACAGTTTGAGCTAGCAAATGTCACATGTTGCATTTCAAAATGTCTCCTGACATTCTAAACATGACAAGAGTATGAAGCACAGTTTCAAGATGGATGGGCTATACAGCAGGCAGCTCCAGGACAAAGCTTGAGTGGTCTGTTGCCACAGAGCCCTCTTGGTGCTTTACCTCCACAGATATGTTACAATATGTTACCTGGGCATTGTCTTTTAAGGTGCATAGAGTATGTTTTCAGCTGAAGTAAATACACTGCACATGAAAGTAATCAAGTAACAAATATAAAAAAAAATGGAACTGCCTTTAAATGGAAAATTCTAATGTAGTAACATATAGTCATTTGGTTTAAAGATCACTCTACTGCTGTAACTGTTTATTTCATTTATCATTTCAGTTTTAGAAGCAAATATGATTGTGTTCAGCCGGCAGTGGAGTAAATGTTCATTGTTCCCACAATGTCCACACCTTTTACCCCAGTCTGTAGAGTAAGCATTATCTCTTCACTTCTTCTCATCTTACAAAGACTCTTATCCCAGTCACTGCGGACAATGTGAACATAATGTCACTTTCTACTAACATTAAACACATGATTTTTCCTGATATACAACTTAGAGTAATTATTGGGAGGAGGCTTTGCATTGTTATCAATCACTCACTGTGATCTGAGTCAGATCTAATCTCAGCAGCAACACATCTTAATGGCTTGCTTAACTGCTCTGAATTGTTTCAAGGACTGCAGAGTTCATCTGGACTAAATCATTTAAAAGGAAATGTACATCAAGGTAAAAACTTACAAAGTATCCATGGGATAAAGTACGTGTAATGTTACATAAAAGACAATTGCTGACTGATTGTAGTGTTAATTTTTCTCAAAACCCTATTATCACTGAACCATTGAAGAGGTCACATATTATCTGTTGACACTGTAAATGATTTTCATTATACAAATTAAATAAACATTTGCAGATATAGAATACCGCTCCTCCTTTCAGGTTTGTTAGAATTCCTTTATTCAATTTATTACAGATTAACAACATCCATTTGGCTGGATTTTTGTTTTTATAGTAAAGGACCTACTTAAACTACTTAATGCCCCAATACTCTGCTTATGTACTCGTAACTAATAATAACCCCAAGCAATGTCAGAAAGAGATCTTTTAGCACTGATGAACAGGCTGTGGCTGGGGTAGGTAGCTGAGTACCAATGATCTTCTGGGTGCTTTCATTTACTTGCTCCAGAGTCCTCCTGTCCTGGATTGTGCACATCCCATGATGCCAGTTTGTGATCAGGTTGCTTTCTATTGCTCCTCTATAAAAGTTAACAAGAACCTGGCACAGGAATTTTGCTTTCTTGATTTTCTTTAAGAAATACAGTCGTTTCTGTGCTTTGTTGTGATGATCATGACAGGTTATCTGTGATGTTGATTACCAGGAACCTAAAACTGTTCACCTGCTCCACCGGTGTAAACGGGATTGTGTCTTTGCCTCTTTTTTTTCCTAAAATCAACAGTTGGGCAGTAGATTGTTTTCTGTCCAGCACTCTGCAATATTGTTGATTTCTGTTTGAAGTCTCATCTATGTTTGAAATCTGGCCAATGATGATGGTGGTGTCATCTGCAGACCTCACAACAGAGCTGTCTCCATGTCTAGGGGATGCAGTCATGGGTGTACAGCGTGAATAGTAGGCAGCTGATCACACAGCCCTGAGGGTAAGTGTAAGTTGACAGAAATGGAATAAAATTCATAGGGATTTTTTCATTAGTTTGTAATCACCTGAAAACTGCTGTGTTTTTGTTACCTTAGAATTAAGCTCTAGGTAGCTAAGGGAGCTGGCAGGTTAACACAGTGTGGTGCCCTAGGGTGACCAAGTTTTAAGTGCCCTAAGGAACTTTACACATAAAAAAGTGATATACAGTTGTATGCAAAAGTTTTTGCAGTTGGACAAATAACATATTTTGGTGATTTTTTTAATTGAAAAGATGTAAACAGTCTTTCAAGGATATGGAACGTACAATTTAATATTTGCAGCAAACATGCATGCATAGTTTTTTTTATCATAAACTAAATAAAAATGAAAAGCAACACTGTGACATGTGCAAAGGTATGGGCTCATTGTGAACCCCTTGCCTCTCTTGAGGTAGTCCATAGTGGTTTTCGAGGTACGTTTAGGATCATTATCCTGTTTTCTTTTCAGCTTCAGCTTTTTTACAGATGGTGTGATGTTTGCTTCCAGAATTTGCTGGTATTTAGTGGAATTCATTCTTCTCTCCACCCATACATGATAAACCCACCCCAATGCAGTTGGGAAGGTGTTCTTTTCTAGATTGTTGCCAAATAGGTCTAGTTTAACTTCATCAGTCCACAGCACTTGTTTCCAAAACACTCAGAATTCTGTACAGGTTCTGTTCCATTCTGACATTGGATTTTATGATGTGGTAAGGTCCATGAAGGTTTTGTTTGTGTAAGCAGCCCTGGACAGTGGAACTCCTGAGTCTGTTAATTCTTCCTGCAGGTTTTTTGCATTAACATGGAGGTTCTGATTTGCCTTTCTGAGCTGCATGCAAGCAGATCTCTGCGAGAGTTTTCTTGTTCTTCTATCTATCATTTTGACCTCCACTGTTCCCCTAAACTGCCACCTCTTAATTATATTTGACACTTTTGCTTAGTATCTGTTCTGGTGAGCAGTTGGCACCTTGCATGGCAGCCACTGCCATCAGTGTACGAATGTGTGCGAATGGGGTGAGTGTGGCATGTAGTGTACAGCACATCGAGTGGTCAATCCCACTGAAAGGCACTAGGATTTTCTTGGGTCCCTGCAGGTCCATCTCTGCAGTATCAGCATGTTCTCACTTTCAACTTGTAAAATACTGCAGCTTAACCAGCGCCCCTATGCTTTATAATTGACACTGTAGGTATGGTAAATGGACTGTACTTACTGTATATAGCACCTTTCTTGTCTTCCGACTACTCAAAACTACTGAAAAGGACTACTAAAGCTAAGAGCTTTAATACTACATGCCACATTCACACAATGATGGCCAAAGCGAAGGTCATTAAAAGGAAACTAATACTCATTCACATTCAAACACCGATGCACAGCAATTTAGGGTTCAATTAAGTTAAATGAAATTCAATTCAGTTTTATTTGTATAGTGCCAATTCATAACAAAAGTTATCTCTGGACACTTGTAAATCAGTGAGTAGAGTCTAGACCTGCTCTGTATGAAGAGACCCAACAGTTTCCACCATGAGCAAGCATTTGGCAACAGGCGACAAGGAAAAACTTCCTTTAAGAGGCAGAAACCTAGGACAGACTCTAGGTGGGTGGCTGTCTGCCTCGACCAGTTAGAGAAAGAGAGGGAGAGAGGGGGGTAGAGGGGTAGGACAGAGACAGAGACAAAGATGCACAGCAACAACAGTAGCAACAACTATACTAATATAAATGACTGATGATGAACATGAAGAAGATGATGATGACGACAATAGCCACAACGATGGGGGACGATGAACAATAATAAGGGTAATAATAGTAACTTTAAAAATAATAATAACAACAATAATATCAGTAATATTAGCAGTGGGAGTCAAGCAGGATCATGGCAGGAGGCTCCACCAGGATCCATAAGATAAGATATTCCTTTATTTATCCCCCTTAGAAGAAATTCAGGTTGACACAGCAGCAATAGGGCAAAATAGTGCAAAAACAGAGTTATCACAATAAAATACTATTTGAATAATAAATACTATCTAATATTATTAATATTAGAAGATATAAAACTATAAATTAAAGTATATACACTATGCATTGTTCAAGTAGGATATGGAGTGCAAAATGTAAGCAGAAAATTAAACTTGACTAAAACTAAAAAACTAAAACTACTAAACTACTAAAGTGGAAATTAAATATAAATAGTGCAAAAGGGTTGTGCGTTGTAGGTAGGAGTTTTAAACCAGTCTTTGTCTGCGGGGGTTGGAGGTACTGGGTGCTGTGGCGTTGTGGAGGCTTGTTGGCACCCCCAGTGCCGATGCCTCCCCCCCAACAGACCACTGCCAAGAGGACACTGGCTACTACAGACTGGTAGAACATCTGTAGTAGCCGAGTGCACACGTTCAACCTCAGGGAGAGGTCAAACTGATGCTGGAACACTCCTGCCAGTTGCTCTGCGCACACCTTAAGGACTCTCGGGGGTGACGTCGTCAGGACCTCTGGCCTTGTTTATCCGGGTCCTTGTGAGCAGCCATCTCACCTGGCATCTTGTGATGACGGGGTTGGTTGTGGCAGTGATTGGGGGGTGACAGTCCCCAGCTGTGAGGTGATTGGTAGAGGGGGGAGGAGGGGAGGGGGTGCAAGGGGGTGGGAGAGTGGGTGTAGTGGAGAGAGGTAGGTGGGGGGAGGTTTGTGGGGTGGAAAAATGGAGAGGATAGGGGGAGTGGGAAAGGGAAAGGGGAGAGAGTGGAGGGGGGTTTAGGGCAGGTGAGGGGGGTGGGGTTACTGTCATCATGGGGAATACGGGCTGTGGAGGGTGGGGTAGCCAGGGTGTGAAAGGGCGTACCTGAGGAGGTGGAGGGGGTTTGTAAGTCAAACCTATTGAAGTACAGGTTTAGCTTGTTGGCACGTCCTTTTGTCCCTTCTACTGAACCTACTGACCATTACGGGCGGCAGTAGCTCAATGTGTAGGGACTTGGCTTGGGAACCGGAGGGTCGCCGGTTCAAGTCAAAATATGGAGTGTGGACTGGTAGCTGAAGAGGAGCCAGTTTCACCTCCTGTGCACTGCCAAGGTGCCCTTGAGCAAGGCAACCTAACCCCAAAACCTGCTCATGGGGCACTGTTAATGTTGCAGCCCCATCACTCCACCACCTCTCTCCCCTTTGCATGTCCACAAGTGCATGAAGTGTGCATTTCAGCCTGTGTGTGTGTATAACAAAAAGAGTGAAGAAAACAATTTCCCCTAGGGGATCAATAAAGTATATCTTCTTCTTCTTCTTCTTCTTCTTCTTCTTCTTCTTCATTTCATGCCAGTAATGAAAAGACACCCTCATCACATTCAAGAGTAGGCTTAAGACATTCCTCTTTGATAAAGCTTATAGTTAGGGCTGGATCAGGTGAGTCCTGAACCATCCCTTAGTTATGCTGCTATAGGCCTGGACTATCTGGGGATTTCCAATGATGCACTGAGCTCCTCTCTCCCTTTCTTTCTGCACTCATTCATGTCCCATTAATGCATGTTACTAACTTCACTTCTTCCCTGGAGTTCTTGTGCTTTCTTGTCTCGCAGGTTCTCATGGATCCTGGAGGAGCCTCCTGCTATGGTCCTGCTTGACTGCCATTGGTTATATCACTGATATTAGTTATTATTATTATAGCTACGGTTACTGTTGTTGCTGTTGTCACTGCTCATTGTCCCCCATCGTTGCTGTTGTCATGTTCATCATCATCAGTCACTGCTATTAGTGTAGTTGTTGTTACTGTTGTTGCTGTGCACCTGTCTGTCTGTCTGTCTGTCTCTCTCTCTGTCTCTCTATCTCTCTCTCCCTCACCCCAACTGGTCGAGACAGACGACCACCCACCTAGAGCTGAAGGATCTGTCCTAGGTTTCTGCCTTTTAACAGGCAGTTTTTCCTTGCCCTTATCACCAAGTGTTTGCTCATGGTGGGACTGTTGGGTCTCTGTAAATAATGTTATAAGGAGTTCGGTCTAGACCTGCTCTATGTGAAAAGTGTCCTGAGATAACTTCTGTTATGAATTGGCGCTATACAAAAAAAATTGAATTGAATTGAATTAATGCTCCTCATCCCCCCACACCTCTCTTGTGCTGGTCTGTTGCAGCTTCCCCTCTATCTTGTTCTTGTAACAGTCTTTGGCCCTCCTCAACTCTCTCCTCAGCTCCCTCCGAATGTCTATCTTGGCATGAGAACCTGCGAGACGAGAAAGCACAAAAACTCCAGGGAAGAAGTGAAGTTAGTAACATGCATTAATGGGACATGAATGAGTGCAGAAAGAAAGGGAGAGAGGATGAGAGGAGCTCAGTGCATCATGGGAAATCCCCCGGCAGTCTAGGCCTATAGCAGCATAACTAAGGGATGGTTCAGGACTCACTTGAGCCAGCCCTAACTATAAGCTTTATCAAAAAGGAATTTTGAAGTCTACTCTAGGTTGTCTGCCTCCCAAACCAAAACTGGAAGCTGGTTCCACAGGGTTCAGTATCTTGCTCACAGACACTTTGAGGGCGGCTGTGGCTCACAGGCAGAGCGGGTCGTCCCTTAATTAGAAGGTTGTTGGTTCGATCCCCAGCTCCTGGTGCCACATGTCGAAGTATCCTTGAGCAAGATATTGAACCTTGAATTGCTCCCGATGCCGTGCATTGGTGTGTGAATGTGTATGAATAAGTTAGTTTGTTCGTCTGTTCGATGGGCTTTGCCATCACTGCGTGAATGTGTGTGTAGTGTAAAAGCGCTTTGAGTGGTCGGAAGACTAGAAAGGCACTATACAAGTACAGGTCCATTTACCATTTGCCAGAAGAGCTGGGAACCGCCAACCTTCTGATTAGTGGATAACCCGCTCTACCTCTGAGCCATAGCCTCTCCTATTTTTGGATGTGCAAATATACATTGTCCAGTTGTACTTTAAAAAGAAAACTTACATGGTTGACGCTGTGAAATGGTTGCACTCTGGTAAGGTTTAGGCTCAAAGATTACTTGGTTAAGTTTAACAAAAGCTCATAAGTTATGTTAGATACCTGATGTAATACACAGAGTTGGTAGAGGTTACTTTAAAAATGTAATCCTATTAGGGATGTAGGTGAATTATTCGGGGAAGATAAATTCTTGATACAGGTAATGAACTTGATATTGTGTGTAGATAAATTAATGTAAAGTTACTGGTTATCTTATCAGTATTGGCCATGAAAAGCAGGTATTTATCAGTTATCCTATAGGCTGAAAAAAAAAATCCATATCTTGCATCCACTTAAGACCAGACTGGTATTGTGAGATTATGAAGAATGGTGTGCATGTTAGGATGCCGTTCTTTATTTTAAAATGTATTTTAAAACTGTAATCCTGCTAATAATCCCCATTTTACTAAATATTACTGTAATCTGATTATTTCTTTTTTCTGTAACTGTAAACCCTTAGTTACCATTTTTAAATCTTCTGATTACTCTGTTGCATGTAATCTGTTACTCTTCAAGCCTGGTAATATGTTACTTAATTTAATTTACATAGAATACGTAATTCAAAAGATATCAGTGTTCACTTTTGGTATCACAAGGGATATTATCATTCATCCATCCATCCACCCCGACCTCCTCTATATGCAGACTTTATTGCTCTTTATACTACATCACCTGACTTCGACAGCTTGTCAAAACATATGCAAGATGGTAACTTCCAGAAAAGATCCTAGCAGGTACCCACAGTTTCATAGTATTAAGTGTAGGACCACTGACTAAGCAGCTGTATTTGATGGGTTATGAGTGAGAACGGACTGGCAGTAAAGGTGTGTGATGTTTCTGTGCTCTAGTGGAGCAACAGATTTATGGAACTATGTGGCCTCAATAGATCCATCTTCTCAAAACATGTTGCTTGAAAGCATCTTCAGTTGGAAGATGCATACATGGAATTCCTTTCCTTTTGTCTGTACAGATGGAGGACATATTTTTCCACAGACAAGGCTTTTTCTGATAATCAAGTTAGACATTTCTTGTAAATAGGTAAGGTGGGTCTTTTTTTTAAATCTGTTGTCTTCGCTTCCCATAAAAGCTACACCAATATCGTATCAGCCTCATCCTGTATAGGTAATATAGTAATTTTTTTTGATGGTCCTGTATCCACTATGTACTTGCATTGTACAGCAGTTCACAATGCATGTAAACCCATATTTATATTTAGACAGCTTTCCTGCATTCAATCATCACCTGCATCTTCATCAATTAACATACAAGCATGCCTTAAGGACATAAAAACCTGGATGACCTGCAATTTTCTGATGTTAAACTCCCCAACATTCCCAAATACCTCCGAAGACTAGTCCATGCATTTGTTACTTCTAGGCCGGATAACTGCAGCTCCTTATTAGCAGGCTAACCTAATAAGTCCATTAAGACACTGCGATTGATTCAGAACGCTGCAGCACGAGTACTGACAGGAACTAGTAAAAGAGATCACATCTCTCCTGTACTAGCTTCTCTGCACTGGCTCCCTTTAAAATTCAGAGTAGAATTTAAAATCCTCCTCCTCACCTACAAAGCTGAGTAAATCACTGAGTGAATGTGTGTGAAAGGGCGAATGTGTCATTTAGTATAAAGGCGCTTTGAGTGATCAGAAGACTAGAAAGGTGCTATACAAATTGGTAGTGGCCAATACCACCATTTTAGTATCCAGAACTGTGGACCCCCCTTAAGGGATGCTGGATGGTGGAGTAGTTAGGGAGAGTGCTGGTCCATGGGTGGCTCCAATTGTGCTGGTAAAGAAGGCTGGAAGTTACCAGTTCTGCATAGATTACCGCAGACTAAATGCAGTCACCCACAAGGATGCCTTCCCACTTCCCAGGATAGAAGAGTCCCTGACCGATTTGAAAGAGTCCCTCTGGTACTCCACACTGGACTGGTGAGTGGATACTGGCAGTTCAAAGTTGATCCCTGCGACAGGGAAAAAACGGCCTTCACTACATTGGCTTCTTTGGGCAGATGCCCTTTGGCCTGTGGAATGCCCCTGCCACCTTCCAACACCTAACACAAAGATGCTCGGGGTGACAAGGTGAAGTGTTGACTACCTGTTAATATATTTGGATGATGTGATAATCTATTCTCCTTCTTTCTATGCTAATTGCAACCTCCCAAGTATATGTAGATGTCAGTATGGAGGGGTCAAGGGGCTCTTCTCTCCCAGGTCCAAGATGGTAAGGAAAGTGAATTGCTTATGAAAGCCGCAGTTTACGGCCTACTGAGAGGAATGACCAAAACTATCATTCATTTAAGCTGGAGCTCTTGGTGCTTAAACGGGCAGTCACTGAAAAGTTCTATCTTTTCTATCTATCCACAGATAGCCCTGAAAAGTGCTTTTATTGTGTTGTGCTGTGTGCTTGGCGTATCTAAGCCACACCTAGTGGGCAGTTCCTGGCCCGGTCTGGTGACAAACACACTTAGTAAACAAATGTTTTAGTGTTGCACCATTATAGTTCTAGGCACTTTTTGTTGGCAACACATATTTGTAGGTGAGAGTCGATTCATTGTTCTACCATCACAAGCTAGGTCTGTCCTTTTAGATTTCACATTTATGCTTGCAATAAGGGAGTGTCAAAAGACTGAAAATGCCATAACAGTAATCTTGTTATTGGTTAAAGTAACAATGCAATATATATTGGAGCAGCAGCGGGATTAACCTAAAATGCCAGATGACAGTGCATTAAATACCGTAATACCATATAAAGTCTTTACATAAATACGCAGTTAAATTGTTATTTTACAAGCAAAATGTCATTGCTAAACCAAAAAAAAAATATTTTTCTGTATGTTATATTGACATTATTCCATGTAGTGGGAAAATGCATTCAGGGATAAGGTTCTATGAACATGAAGCAAACTATATTATGTTGTGTTATTCCATGTTTAATTTTACAGGCTTACAGTATAGTGTTTTATGTTCATGTATGTTCGTCTTCATGTATTCACACTCTGGCTGTCTCACCCTTGTTAGGAAAATTGTTTTTCATTGTGCTATGAGCTAAGTACATTCCAAAGACCAAGGCTGTCTCTGAGAGAGTTGGGCATCAGATGTGTTATGACTACTGTTTATCAGGCATTAGTGATTTTCTTTGTTCAAGTCAACTGTATCCTGGGACAACTCGGTTTGCTTGTATCCTGTGTGATGCAAATAAATCTTGCACATGGAGTGAAACTGTCAATTCTCTTTGGTTTCTGTGAGTCTGTGTCACCATTGTGGGTGCCTTCAGTGGGAGTTTGTGGTCTCTCAGATAGCTAAAAATTGAAGTCAGATAGAAATCAATTGAGGGGCATTGAGGCAAGAAAAATCAAACCACAACATACATAAAAATAATTTAGTGAGGACAATAGTTGTGCTTATATAGAAGGGACCAGAAGAGATTGCCTATGAAAGTGAAAAGGAGTTTGCTGACAGCATAAGGACACATTAATGAAAAATTAACCACCTACTTTTTTAAATGGAAAGTTTGGGATACTACATGCTATGTAGAGAACTTTTATTTAATTTTGGTAAATATGATTAAATGAGGAGAGTCAAAAACATTAAGCCCTCCCTATGTTAAAGACATTGACATTACCTCCTTTTTCAGCTTGTGGGTTTTATTTTCTAAATAACGTTGAAAAGCAGCCTGTCTCAACGAGAGCTTTGATGTTTCCCAATCATTATTTTTTGTCATTTTTTGGGAAGTCAACAGGCATCCGCATACTTGTGAACAGGAGGTGGAGACATACTTGAAAATGTGGAAGTACGGCGCAGCGCACAAGATGTTGCGACACAACCTTCCCTTGACGGGAAACGGGTGGTTCTACCTCAGGTGTCATGGATGTATCTGTACCTTGTTTGGTCATTGTTAGGTTTTAGCCATAAAGAAGAATGGAATTGATCTAACGAACATTACACAAGAACCAATATTGACGCCAGTTTGGTAAGTTAAGTAACGTTAATAACCCTTGCTTTTGGTTGCGAAACAAAATGGCGTTAGTAGTTTAGTCATACTGTAGTCACAGTGGCAATAGTGCACAGTAGTCAATGTGCACTTTACCTAACGTACAGTTTAACGCTACATTATTGGCCATACGTTTGCTTTTTGCTAACAACTTAACGATACGTTAGCCACTATTACGTTAGCTAACGTAATTTCAATTCAATTCAATTTTATTTGTATAGCGCCAATTCATAACAGAAGTTATATCAGGACACTTTTCAAATAGAGCAGGTCTAGACCGAACTCCTTATAATATATATATATATATATATATATATATATATATATTACAAACTTAAAATAATTATTCTTATCTAGCTAGCGTTAATTATCTTAAGGATGGTAAAGTGAGGTAACGCCATCATAGTTCGTAAGGTTGTATCTATAATGCATAATCATAACGTTACTATCTATAAGAACCTTTTCTGACATTATGGTCTTTTCTATGTTCCTAGCGAGTTGTCATCATGGTGTCTGCGAAAGAGGTCCAGCTGTTGGTGTTATCTTGCCTCATCTTTGCTCTACCCTCTACAGGAGGTCAGTACCATTTTACATATTAACGTCTGGCAGTATTGGGAACTTAAGTAACGTTATTCTCTTTCAGTTGACATATAAACACCAAATCTTCATGTAACTGCAGAGTTTCCCACTGTTATTTGGACATGATGTGACAGCAGGAAAACTATGGAAGCATATTACTTACACACCAGAAAAAGAAAAACGGATCAGTATCATGTTATAAAGCAGTAGTCACCAACCTTTCTATGCCCAGGATCCTTGACCATCCTTGGTGGGGGGCAAGATCTACCAATTGAAGCACTGATGCAAAAGGACAGCCCAGATTGTACTTTCAACTTGACTTATTTTATTTTGGCATTTTTTTAATTACATGCAGTGCTTTGGTCTCACTTTCAAATGGATGCAGCCAAGAATAACATTACAATTAACACATCAAACAGGCTGTAGCTGTCTTGTTTAAATAATTTCACAATAATACATTTATGCCCTTAATTATTTAATTTCAACACAAAAAATATAACATGTGGCCTACTTTCCATTTGTATGAGGAAATTATTTTCTTCGTTCAACAACAAAACTACAAGAAAAACAATAATGAGCAGATCAGATTGGCGTTGTTAACTGTTGTGCTTATACACTGCAAGTTACAACATTCAAAATGAGCATTTTAGAAAGTGGAACTATAATGTGTGATAACTAAATTCTCAGTCACTGCTACTAGGATAAATACATTTCCATGTCCCGTGTTGTGCAGCATCACTTTTCACAATGCAATCATCAGGCATAACTGTTTCAGTCATGTTATTTACTGATGTCAGTGTGATGGCTGTGACTGTACTGCCTGTAAGTGCTTTGTAGTTAAATGGTAGCCTTTCTAGTCTTCAGACCACTCAAAGCGCTTTTACACTACATGCCACATTTGCCCTTTCACACACATTAACACACCGATGCACAGCATCAGGAGCAATTCAGGGTTCAGTATCTTGCCCAAGGACATTTACGAAATGTTGCATGTTGAAGACCAACCTGTCGATAAACCACTGTTATAAAGTGGTAACTCTATGGGGCCTTCCATGCTTGTCCAGCTGTTAAGTGAGAACTGAATTACTATGGGAATGGGTATATTTTTTTGTCATTATAGGCTATTGAGGGTGTGTTTGTTTCTTTTTGGCTGCTTGGTTGCTTCTGTTCCACAGGTGTGGCAAATCCTGAATCATTGGGCTGATCTTTGGCTGCCTTCCTACCATGCCCCGCTGTGCGCTGCTCGGCCTGAGGCAGTCTGTCAGCACCCGCCTCCTTGTCTGCCATTCCCCCTCACCCAAGACCAATGTCGATCAAGTAGAGAAGGCAGGGAGAGGCAAATTGACAATCAATCAGTGGTCAGCTTTATTGTGAATTTAAACTCACTCATGTGTAATTGTGGGTCTCAAAAGGGCCTTCCCCTTACGCAGGGAAATGGGTGTTTTCAAGTTGGTGGGGAGGTGTCCAGGCGGTGATCTCCTCCGTGTCTGGAGAGCTGAGCAGTTCATACAGCAGCAGTTTGGTCTTGAAAGTGTCTTAGCCTGCAGTGCGGTCGGTACCTTCAGTGTGCATCACAGCATCTCCTTCATCACCCCTGCTTCTCCACAGTGGAGCCTTGATTCGAGATTTGCCACACCTGTGGAAGAAAAACACACACACCCCCAATAGCCTATAGTGCAGAAAAATACACCCATCCCCTAAATAACTCAGTTTACATCCCAGTTCAGTACTTTCCCCATGGTCTGTTTACTCCCATATCCCCCCCCCACAGTCACAGTTCATTCTCATCCTCGCCCTACGACATCTGCGTACTCTAAGAAGGATGCATGGGGCGGTACAGATGGCAGACTTTAAGGACACACCTCCCAATGTCACACACCTACGGGCACCCACCCCATTCAGCACCATGAGATTTTAATGAAAAATTACGCAACGTTTATTGTGGATAGCTTGGTTCTGAGTGTTCTCACTTTTTGAAAAGCTTGTTTGGTGTTCATGGTGCTGAATTCCTGTTAAAGTTGCAGGTTTTGTGTTGAGAAAGGACTCATCTTGAACAGAATTTTTTTGGGTTGGAGAAAGGACTCCGTTATTATGATTGATTATTTGGGTTTTTGTATATTGTTTTACTGATTATCTAATACACAGTGGGGATTAACAGTGGCTGTGTTGTGCCCTTTTGCTGTATTGTGTTGCTTGCTTGCTATGTTTTTGGTGTGTATGGTTAGTAAAAGGGATTCGTGGTCCTATCAGCTTCTTTGTACGGTTTGCTGGCATCCTTGCTCAACTCCAGCGACCGCTAGCTGGAGGGACACAGAAGGCTCCATGAAGTTATCACATTATAATGTGGAAAGTTTCACGTTACAACAATAAAATTATCACTTTTTTCAGTCATATAACAAAGTGTATTGGGCTGTAACAGTGACATTATAATTTTGGTATTTCTAAATCTGGTGTTCATTTATTTTTGTATTCTGATGTGTTTCACAATGACAATATTTAGAACATTTCTGTTTTCAGTGACAATAAAAACCAATGACACTGGAAAAGAATTTGAAGATTGTAATTGAAAAATGCACACAAAAAATATCAGTAAAATGAAATCATTAATGTCTGTGATTAATTTTTCACACATTTATTTTCAGTCATGCATAATTCCTGATAAATCACATTTTGTATTCTATATTCCTGTTTTTAAGGCAATCATTAACTGCTGTAAACCGTCAACTGCAGTTTGATAAACTGTAAAGTGCCCATGTTTTGTGCTGGTCAGGGGGACCTTTAAAATATTTCAAATTGGGGGGAAAAGTTTGAGAAAGATGTGAGTCTCTGCTCTCCTGATGTCAATGGGGAGGGCCAAGACAGCAAACCGTTTGGCTTTCATTGAATTTGTGCTGGGTGGTGTGACCAAAGTTTTGTATCTGGTAAAGAAGTGATAATAAAGGAAAAACATTTGATGAGAAATTCCACCGATTGATCTATAAAATCTTGAAATACCTATGTCTGAAAAAATTAATTTTTAATTAAAAGTTATCTTTAAACAAAACAAAGACATCTTATTATCTTAAAAATTAAGTTAATAAGATGTCTTTGTTTTGTTGTCCCAATCTCAGATCCTCTGGGGAAACCTCAGAATCTGTCCTGCATAGCAGTTCAGGAGGGAGAACGCATCTCTCCAAATATCAGCTGTGTGTGGGAAACAGCAGGACGTCAAACCACAGATGTCAATACAACATACACACTGAATGTTGGATTCCTTAGGTAAGTGCACCGTTAGATGTGTTTGCATCATAGCCAAATTTAATTTCTGTTTTGGTTCATTTCATGGTGGAATCAAGCTGGCTCTTCAAGGTGTTGAAAGAATGTTTTGTTAACGTTAAAGTGTTTCATTGCTTGCATTGAAAACTTTATAATTTAATCTTTTTTATGGCTTATCATTTGTAGTTTTTGACTTTTAAAGGTGCAATGTGTAACATTTAGGACTGCCATGTTTCTATGGGAACCCAGAACAGACAAATCAAACACTGGCTCTAGATAGGGCCATTTTTGTCCCAGCTCGTTTTGCAGCCACCATAGTTCATGCTTGGAAGGGTAGAGTGAGTCATAGGACTTTCGATCTGCAACTATACCTAAAAACAAGTTTACCAATAACTGTGTGATTTAAGGCAGATATGGTACATGGAACATACATTTTCACTCTGTGTGGTAAATGAAAAGATGCTTACAGCTACTACTGATGGATAGCTTAAGTTAGCTTGTCAATTGCTAACAGCAGTGTAGCAGCACCAGAAAGCTAAATGTGACTGTTGTCTCTGTGTTTCTCTGTGCTCACTGAAAATCACAAATCGTTTGGAAGACATCCTTGTCCAGTCCAAGTGTCTACAAGAGTGATGTAGAAATCTGAATCCACCAGAAGTAGGAGACGTCTTGTGTCGAGTGGGAAAACTAAAATTAACATTTCCATTGGCTGGAACAGTGACATTATAATTCTGGTATTTGAAGTAAAATCTGGTATTACAAATGATTTCATTTCACTTTTTTTCATTTCATATGTTTTGTATTCTGATGTGTTTCTCAACAACTGTATATGTCATATCCAATAAATGATCAAACTAACTGGCAATTAGCAAGACACCAGACACCAGTCCTTTCTTCCATGGTGTTATTTAAAGCTATCACTTTTGCTCTTCATTAACAGAGATAAAATAAAAGTATCATGAAATGTGAAAGTGAAATTCTTTAAATCAGTATCATTGTCTAGGCCTTGCTGTTGAGTTCTTCTAAATGGTGATACGATCTTTTGTCCACAGCGGTATGTATAATGTGTCGACACCTGAGAAGAGTGCCACAGTGTCTGTGGGCCTTTTTCCCAATCCATCCCTGCTGGATATCTGGGTAGAGGCGCACAACACACTGGGAAAAGTAGAGTCTGAGCATCTCAAAGAAGAGGCCAACTGGTTTGGTAAGTCAAATGTTGTAGTAAGGTTTGCACAGTACTGCTATATTAATGTCTACTTGTTGTGTAGAACATGCATACATCAGTGGTGGTGGGAGTAAAGTCTTGGTCAAACATCATGGTCAAAGTGGTCAGATATCTGTTCTGTTCACACTACACAACTATCTGTCTTGTAATCTGGAGTCTTGAAGTCATTGTGGTTCGCACACTATGTGACTGCAACAGGGGATCATACACTACAAGATCTTTCACAAGGAGTAATCCCAGAGTCTGTCTGGGACGATGTTTCATCAGGAGTATACTAACACCATTAATAACAAGGACATCATGTTTAATTAAGAAAGTAGTTTAAAAAAAAGGAAAGGGCAACCAATTACAGCATACTGCAGTTAGAAACTAGTTAGAGACGAAAGCACTGAATAAGCTGATAATTATCCGGATCAGTCAGTGTCACTAGCAGTTTAAATTCCTCCAAAAGCTCCCTGCACCAAACTCCCTTTAAGAAATATCACGTTTTAACAATTCTTTTACGTGTCCATAACAACAATTAATTCTAGAATCAATGTATGACGTGTGCCAACAATATCATGAAAGGGCTAAATAGCATGTCCACAGACCACAATCAAGAAACTAAAAATACAAAATACACTAAAGAATGAACATATAACACTCATACAACACAACGTTTTTTTTCTATTTGTTGTATGAAGAATGTCACTCATCCACATTATCCTCTGTGACAAATGGGATTACAGAGAAGTACCTTTGGAAGATGGCTATGACGCCACACCGCTGTCTGATACATTGCTCTCAAAACATATTGCTTGAAAGCATCTTCAGTCGGAGGAGTTGAAGCAAACATTCCTTTGCTTGAATAGTAGACAAGCAATACCAGTACATCTGTGTCATTGCATTTAATGATAACACGAGGATGTGACCTTGCAAGGTGTATTGCATGTAACACCAATCTTGTATCAGCCTCCTCCTGGTTACTATATGTCTACTAAGCTTTCAACCCCTGACTGGCTGACCATCTTAACCTCCTCACCATTTTCAAAGCCTCATACCAAAATAATGGTCTTCTCTGCTGAGATTCTCTGAGGTCCTGTATCCACTATGTAGTTGTTGACAAAGCTACACAGGGCAGCCTTGTTCCCACTGCACTTCAGGTATTTTCTGTTGTTAGGAACATTTGCTCTTCCTGTAATAACATATGTAGGTCTCTTAACCTGAACTGTGCCTCCGCGTTTCCTTTCAAGGTCTTTTATTGATGGCGAATGGTCATATCTGTCAAAGACTATAGCCACGCAGCTGAAGCACTCCTTTCCTGTTAAGGCTGCAGTTTTTCTCCAGATGCTCTCACCTAGGTCACTGAATGTCTGAAAGTCATGGAGACCTTGTAGAAGAGTAATGCCATCAATGATGTACATAGATGGTTCCTCTGAATTTGGCGGTTTCTGTATCTCCTCAACTAAAGCCTCAATTTTCTTAGCAAAGTCAGCCTTTGTTATTTTCCTCATACTTCCATCATCATTAAACAATGATGAGGGGACAGCAGCAAGTTCATGAGACATCACAGTTTCTATCGACACCTCCCTCTGCTTGGAAACAGCAAGAAGCCATCGGAAGAGCACATAGTTTGCCCTTCCAGCAGCTCTGAACCAAGGGATGACTTCACACGTGCAATTCAGGTGGAGTTCAAAGTCAGCTTCACGCTCAGAACGAAGAATCCGAAGCAACAGATCAGCCCCTTTCAGGAATTTCAACCAGTATGCAAAGTTTGCTGATTGTTTAACTCCCTCAACTGAGAACATTTGGATACTTTTATTGTGGTAAGGTCAGTCTCCAATACACTGACAAGCTGTTTCGCATTGGTCTTGTCATTACCATGGAATGCATGTTGCAGATCTCTCAGGAGCTGCTCTTGTGTTCTTGTCATTGGATGTTGGGCTTGCTTTTTAAGCCATGACTGAATCGCTTTCCAGAAAAGCCTGAACAAAGCTTCAGAGGTTAGTTTAATGCTCCTAACACCTCTTGCCAGTTGTTTGCCATGAAGAATTTGTTGAGCTGTTTCCTCAGCACACACATCTGACTCAGTATGTTATTGAGGCTGCCATCATCATAGAGCTTTCCCATGCTTGCCAGGTAAGCCATGGTAATGCGCATACCTCCCAGTCTCATTGTTACCTTTCCTTGTAAAGAGGGTAGTTTGCTCCACCAAGATCTGTTGTGCTTTGCTATAGATAGCAAGGTCTGGAGTCACATGGATGTGGTGCTGTCCTAGTTCTTTAGCAAGTGCTACAAGCCGTATCATAACTGTATATAAAGTGGACAGATCCGAAAGTGATTCCCTAATGAAAGGCATGTAGAGAACACTGGCTACAGCACAGGAATTATCTGATGTGAAGGCATCGAATGCAGACCATGCTGGGACATTCTGTTGATTCTCATTCCTGACAAGCTTCCACACTAGATCTCTTCTGTCTGCTGTCATTGAGACTGCACTGTTGGATTCCAGCATCTCAGGTTTGTAAAGTTCAGGTGGTTCCTGTCGCTTTGGAGGTTTGATGTACCTGTGATCAAAATTGAAATATGAAGTTGCTTATAATCATGGCCTCTTCGGTACACAACAGTTTCCATAGCATGAGTTGTGTGCTTCCCATCCAGAGTGTCTTCGTTTTGGTCAAAGTTGTCAATGGCTGCATCAACAATCCCATGTTCAGACACATTGGAGAGACCGTTAGGGATGTAGACACTTTCTGCCCTTGACATCTGGTCTGCTGCCACTGATGTGAGAAATTCAATTCAATTCAATTCAATTTTATTTGTATAGCGCCAATTCATAACAGAAGTTATCTCAGGACACTTTTCAAATAGAGTAGGTCTAGACCAAACTCTTTAAAACATTATTTACAGAGACCCAACAGTACCACCATGAGCAAGCACTTGGCGACAAGGGCAAGGAAAAACTGCCTGTTAAAAGGCAGAAACCTAGGACAGATCCTTCGGCTCTAGGTGGGTGGTCGTCTGCCTCGACCAGTTGGGGTGAGAGAGAGAGAGAGAGTGTCTAACCTCACCCCAACAGGGCGGCTGTGGCTCAGAGGCAGAGCAGGTTGTCCCCTAATCGGAAGATTGTTGGTTCAATCCACGTCTCCTCCTGCCACGTGTTGAAAGTATCCCTGAGCAAGATGCTGAACCCCAAATTGCTCCCGATGCCCAGCATCAGTGTGTGAATGTGTATGAATGAGTAAGTTTCTGTTCGATGGACTTTGCCATCACTGAGTGAATGTGTGTGAAAGGGTGAATGTGGCACGTAGTGTAAAAGCGCTTTGAGTGGTCGGAAGACTAGAAAGACTCTATACAAGTACAGGTCCATTTACCATTTACCATCATCGGGCGGCTGTGGTGCAGAGGCAACCCTTATCAGAAGGTTGTTGGTTCGATCCCTGGCTCCTCCTGCATACATGTCGAAGTATCCTTGAGCAAGATACTGAACCCCAAATTGCTCCCGACGCTGTGCATGAATGCGTTAGTTTCTGTTTGATGAATGCGTTAGTGTCTGTTTGATGGCTTTGCCATCACTGAGTGAATGTGTGTGAAAGGGTGAATGTGGCACATAGTGTAAAAGCGCTTTGAGTGGTCGGAAGACTAGAAAGACTCCATACAAGTACAGGTCCATTTACCATCCATTTACCATCATAAGAAGCACAGTGGCCCATTGCACTGAGCTCATTGATTAGTGTCTTGCTTCCAAACTCATGATGAATCAGAATTGCAAGTCCCAGTGTTATTGGTGTTTGAATGTGGTGACACTGTGCAATAAGACTGGCAGATTGTGATTACAAAAGATTTTCTTTTAAAGATGGTTCCTCAACACGTTTGGTGGTTTCTAAGAGCTCTTGAATCAACACACGAATTTACAAAGTCATACAGATGGTAGGGCTGGGCGATATATCGATATAAAAAATATATTGATATATTTTTAAATGTGATATGGAATTAGACCATGTCGCATATATCGATATAGTTCAAATTTGCAATGTGATCCTTGCTCCAAGCAAGCTGCTGACCCGGAGCTCTCTGCACTGCTCCCCGGGCCCCCGCCACCACACCTCCTCTTTCTATAACCTAACGTAATGTTTATGTTCATATCCATAACTTAGACTGTAACGTTGTCAGACTGTTAGGTTAGCTTACTGCTGAGTAATTAACTGATGTTACAGCTAACTTAACGTTGGCTAACGTTAGCTTGTTAAGCTCGGCATGATTCATGTTAGCAAAACACGTTAATATTGAGTGTGGTTTTAGTTGGGATGGGTTGCTTGTTCTGTTTACAGGCAGCAAATCTTTATCATACCATTAACGTCCTGTTACTAACGTTACAGACACTTGTTGCTGAGTCAACCTAATGGACTGCTCAGTAATAGCGTTAACTTACGTTACGTTGTTATAACGTAATTGTACTTGCTTGTGTAATGACGGTAGCAGTTTTGGTGAGTGGTAACAGCCTTACTGCCTTCTGAAAATATTAATTTAAAAGTTATAATGCAGCCTAACTTCTGGACACAACGTGTGTGTGTGTGTGTGTGTGTGTGTGTGTGTGTGTGTGTGTGTGAGAGAGAGAGAGAGAAGAGACAGAGAGAGAGAGAGAGACTGAACATTTGCTCTCACTTTGCCAGAAATATATCGTATATTGATATTCAGCCTAAATATATCGGGATATGACTTTCGGTCCATATCGCCCAGCCCTAACAGAAGGTCAGGCACATATTTGCTGCATTGGAGACGAGAGAGCTGATCACTGCTTACATAGAACTGATGTTCATGTTCGACATTCTCCATACTTCTCCTCAATATTTCTGCTGCCTTGTGTAAGATCTGGGTATCAGAAATACTGTCATGTTGCTTTGGAAGTGTTGTCTCACAGTCATCATCTGTATTTTCTTCTCTGAGTTGGGCAGCTGCTCTCAATGCATAACCAATGGACATATTGCCAGAGCTCACCAAGTCTGTTTTTCCAGAACGTTCAACAAATACCAGCCTGTCATTGTAATGTTGAGGTAGCCTTTCTTTCGACTTCCAGGATTTGTACTGTTCATTTGCCTCATCTTGGGCCTCAGACATTGTCCTCAGAATGTCAGTGTAGTTATCAGTTAAAGAGTTAAGAGTTGTTACTTCCATGTCTTATAACAATAATGTTTTGTCAATGTGTTCAGGAAGCTCCATGACGGCCTTTTCATACACAGTGGTCTCTTTTTCAGCTTCATTTTTGCACCTGGTAGCTGCTATGTTTCTAGCAGAAATGTAGTGTGAGAGACTACTTGCGTCATAAGCAAAGAGATCTTGGTGCAAAAGTAACCGATGATGTATGACTCCATCTGATCTTTCTGATGCAGCATTAAGGACCTTGTCTCTGGTACCCTTGCCTGTACCTGTTGTAATAGGTGTCAGACATTCTGGTCTGATACTATCTTTACCACAAATCAAGCAATCCCTTTGTATATTGAAAGATGTTGCATCCTCTCCACTTAGCCTTCTTGATAAGACTGGTTTGGACAGGCTCTCTCTTTGAGCAGGAGTAACTTGCTGTTCATTGATGTTAGTCTTACTGGACTAGCCTGCCCTGCATGATACATGACATGACACTTTTATTTTGAAGGAGAGTATGTCCTCTCTTTGTGGAAATGTTTTATGGACATCATCTCCTCTCTCTTCTGCAACATTTAGTATTCTTCTAACTTGGGATTCTTGACAAAGGGGTCTTGTTCTAGTGGTTTGGTACAGATAATACAGAGCTTTGGATCCAATGCCTGTGGGTCACTCTCCATCATCCCAGTACTGGTTAATGAGAAAAACATACAAGTTTTAACTTCAGGCACATGAAATTAATCCTTTAATAGTTTCCACAATTAGAAACTCTAACAGTAGAATAGAACCTCCCCCAGGCCAGTGGTTCCCACCAAAAGCCCCACGAGGGGATGCCCAAGCTTCACACTACTTTCTTGATTTTAAGTGGTGTAAGAAAACTTTTTTTTTTTTAAATATACACAGTAGGCCAGTAGCTCTGCATTTAATTTATTTCTGTCAAAAAAATAGTATAGTTGTTTTTGAAGTTGATATTATTTAAAATGTAAACTTTGAGCTGAACACAGAGCCTTCACTCTCTGATACAAGAGAGAGTCTGTGTCACTATCAATTAAAGGCAATAAAGCCCCCCCAAAAAAAAAAAAAAAACACTGAATCTGTCAAAAAGAAGCCTATTAAGTCTGTATCACTGTTAAAAATACATATTACAGACAGAGAATTGTATAAAAATATTAGGAAAACTATATCAATATTCACAGAAAATCTTCTCAAAAGTAATCCAAATCTCTCGTTTTTTTAAGCCAAACTTCCTGCAGTTATTGTGTTCAACAGTATCACTACTGTTATTGTTGAAATATAAAATGAAATATACATAAAGTATGTCAGTCCGGGGTCATCAGTTTACTCAATGTAGGTAAAAGGTTGGGAACCACTGCCCCAAGCCGTGGGAAATTAATGGTAAAACTATCCATATATATCTATATAAAAGTGCAGATATTATCACATTAAAACTGCTTGTGTTTAATAATTGATTTAATGAGATTGGTTATACTATGGCTGTCCTGTTCTATTCATTATGAGGAATATCCTTCAGACAACAAATCAATTTTGACTGGAAACACAACAGCTAATGAATTACTACAGTATGATTACTATAGCTCAAATAACTCATACACTGTGCTAATTTAGCTAAAAACAAATTGTATTAGCTCATGTAAATTAGGCCATACAGTTTAAAATATAAATGCAAATCTTGTGATAATCAAATTAAATTCAGTTAATAGAAAGATAAGTACACAGTAATGGATTTTAATATAAGGATGCTGATTTATTTGTAAGCAGCTAAAATAGACACACAAAGTTAGCTAGCATGCAGCCACATCACATTAAGAGTGGACTTGGACATTTTAAGAACACATCTATGAAGATTGGGGTGTATGGACATGGGTCCAATTAGGATTTTAGAGTTCCTCAAATAGTTTATAGTTGATCAAATAGTTTATCCAATCACTCTCTACCAGGCAGGCGAAATCAATCACATGACTAGAATATTTAATACAGTGACAATATATAGCTTTGTTGAAAATGGTGTGCTAATATTATTTCAAGGGGACTGACAACTTATACATTAGTTGAATAAAATAGCCTGTATTTGTTTACGTCAAGAAATGTATAAGTTAAATATTGTTATTCTACTTTCTTAATGTCGATGACTGACCATACTTGCTACAGTTACATATCATTTATTGCTGGATTCAGCACAGTCAGACCTTTTTAACAAATCCTGGTTCCTGTGTCTGGGACACTCCCAGCCAAAGCTAACTTAAAGTAAATGTATACATTCAACATAGACCCTCATATTTGATACTTCTGCCTATTGTACGTCTGTGTTTGTAGTACTGTATTTCCTCAGTGCATCAAGATATTCACATTCTCTTTTCAGACATGTAGAGGGGCCCCCTGTCCACTTCCACACCACATTTGGGATCAATTAGAGCTTGCATTACATAATTACATGGGTTAAGGTCAATTGTCTCCCATTCGGCCTGACTTTAAATTTGGGGTGTGCCACTATATCTCTCAATTTAACCACTTTTGCAGTAAAATATTTTTATACAAGAATCCATTTCTTATATGGGAGACCTTGGAGAATATAAAAAATCATTGTTGTGCTTTGTTCTACCTCCGGTACGGGTATCTCAAAGACTAAAGCACTTTTGGGGGTCTTCCCTAGTCTAGCCTGTATCTGTTTTGTAATCTGGAGTCTTGAAGTCATAAATAATGTAATCCCAGTCAGTCTGTCTGGACTCCAAACTACGACTCATCAGGATATGAAACGTCATTGACCAGTTCACACATAACGATTTTCCTTACAGGAGTGAGCGCCAATTTATCTCTGATCTGCGGCAGTTTTGGAATAACACCGTGGAAAACCTTATTGACTACTGCCTAACATTACAATGCAACAGAGCTGGATACCTCTTCCACAGTCACTTCAACTACAGACTCAACAGCAAATAAATCCATAAAGTGTAAACTTTACTTGCTTGTCACAACCTGAAAACAACAGATAGTTTACTAATATGACTAGTCATCATGATATATTATGACCATATGTCTCTAGTGGATGTAGTGTAGTGATGGATGAAGTTGGATGTTGTGGTGGTAGTGTCACTGATTTATGAGCTGCAGGCCTTGCATACCACTGTCTATTCTTACTAGTGTCATTGACAACATTATTAAGTTGTGGTTTGGGAGGCAGACACCCTCTCCACATTTAAGAGTAGGCTTAAGACGTTCCTCTTTGATAAAGCTTATAGTTAGGGCTGGATCAGGTGAGTCCTGAACCATCCCTTAGTTATGCTGCTATCGGGCGATTTCCCATGGTGCACTGAGCTCCTCTCTTCCTCCCTCTCTCTCTTTCTGCACTCATTCCTGTCCCATTAATGCATGTTACTAACTTTACTTCTTCCCTGGAGTTCTTGTGCTTTCCCGCTCGCAGGTTCTCATGGATCCTGGTGGAGCCTCCTGCCATGGTCCTGCTTGACTGCCATTGCTAATATCACTGATATTATTGTTATTATTATTATTAATACCATTATTACTACAGTTACTATTATTACTATTGTCACTGCTCATTGTCCCCAATCGTTGCTGTTGTCGTCGTCATCATCTTCTTCATGTTCACTTCTATTAGTGTAGTTGTTGCTGTCTCTGTGTCTCTCTCTCTCTCTCTCTCTCTCTCTCTCTCTCTCTCTCTCTCTCTCACCCCAACTGGTCGAGGCAGACAACCACCCACCTAGAGCCGAAGGGTCTGTCCTAGGTTTCTGCCTCTTAACAGGCAGTTTTTCCTTGCCCCCGTCGCCAAGTGCTTGCACATGGTGGTACTGTTGGGTCTCTGTAAATAATGTTATAAGGAGTTCGGTCTAGACCTGCTCTATTTGAAAAGTGTCCTGAGATACCTTCTGTTATGAATTGGCGTTATACAAATAAAATTGAATTGAACAATTTAATTGAATTATCCAAATTTTATTGTTGGACTAGCTGCCTTCCAGATAGCTCCTTTTGTATGTAGGTCTCTGCTGGTCTACTGCAACCTAGTAGGCTGGCAGGTTTGCACACATTGCGATAGAAAGCACTCATCAAAACGTAACTTCTTCTTAAATTATTTAATAAAAATAAAAGTCCAGTCCTTTCAAGTCATTTGTCTCAAGTTTATGTCAAGTCTCGAGTCAAGTCAGTTTTGAGTCTTTTATCAATGTTAGTCAAGCAAGTCCTCAAATTTGCGAGTCAAGTCATGTGACTCAAGTCCCCAACCTCTTACATACTATTGATATACCATAGTCACAGTGCTGACACCAGTGCATTAATGATGTTTGATGATCGCCATCTCGTGTGTTGTTAGCTTGTTGTGTCTTTTGTTGCAGTGAAAACAAACCCTCCATCAGATGTCAGAGTCATTTCAGAAAGGACTTTTCCCACCTCCCTTCTGATAAATTGGGCTCATCCTATTGAGGAAGTTTATGTGAAATTAACATATGAAATCAGATTCTGCCCAAGTGGATCTCAAAATTGGACTTATGTAAGTATGTTGGTGTCTCATTTGACTACTCGTTAATTTCTCATAGTGTGCATGTTCATCATATCAAAAAGAGAAGTCGACCTCTGTTCCCCAGAGGATGAGCCCCCCTGACTTCTCCTCTTGTGCCTCCAGCAGACATTTTTACTGAAATATCTCAATGACTGTTTCATGGATTCCCATGAAAGTTGACACCATAGGTGTACTTAGTGACTTTCTACCTCCGGTTGATACATGTGTCAGCTCCAACTAAATATGGGATCTGGAGTATTACAACTAGTAATCACAGGTGTCACAAATAATAATATTTAAAAATTAAAATAATAATATTTAAAATGTCTTACTGCTTGGTGAGAAGGAGAAGATGGTTTGGGAGATCTGATCTCTACATCAACCTGGACTGAAATTTTAAGGATAACTTTAATGTTTATTTGTGTCTTTCCTCCATGTTGTACATAGTTTTGTTACTGCTGTTGGTCTTTTCTATGAAAGAGATGTGTTTGATATCTTTTAGGTACCGCTTGTGGACACTGCCAAAGGTATACAGTGCTTGAGACTACAGAACCTTCAGCCAGACACAGTTTATGACACCCAGGTGCGCTGCAAAAGTGCTTTAGAAGGTGGTTACTGGAGCAACTGGAGTACCAATGCTACTGAGAGAACACCAGAGGACCGTGAGTTATATGGCTGCCAGTTCAGACTACTTTCACGAAGTAAAAGTATTTGACCACCAAATACTCTAAAACTACCCACTTTAATGTTGAATTGTAGATTTGTGAGTTATGTTGTCCTTTTGCTCTTTTGGTAAAATAAAAAATTTTCTTTCCTTTTCTTTGGCCAAGGACCAAGAAGTAAACCGGATTTATGGAAAATCATCACTGTGGATGAGAGCACAGCACGACAAGTGTGGTTTATTTGTAAGGTAAATAACACACTCAATTTAACACAAATAATAGTATTTAAAATTTCTAACTGCTCGGTGAGAAGGAGAAGATGGTTTTGATGTCAAGATCTGATCTATACGATTGGTATCAAGGCATTTTTTAACTGATCGGCATTGGCTATGGTGGGCTTTATTAATCCGATCCCACTCTGATCTGTGTGTGAGAGCACAAGCAGCCCTCTTCTCTGAGTGGTACATATCCGACACAAACACATTCAACCACTGCAAGTGCAACAAAAGTCCTGTGAACAAAAAGCCAAAAAGAGTAATTCATTTAATCCTTGCTAAAGATGCAGAGACGACAGAAATAAACAGTCAGTAGAATACAGGTAATCAGGTAAAAGCTGCACTGAAGTAACAAACACTGGAGAGTGAAACTCCCTCCAGACAGCAACAACTACCTTGATCGGGACATCCCTACTGTTAATATTTTACAAATTTTGAAAAAAGAAGAAGAAATGTGTCTCAAAAGATGAGATATTATCCAATGTACTGTCAGTTTCATCGTTGGGCATTGAGTACAGAAATGCAGTAAAAGGATATGCATACTTAGGAAACCAGTTCAGAAAAAATTATGGACTTGGATACACACTGCCTGCAGTGCAGCCGCTATAATGCACACCTTAATCACCAGGTTGCTGTGGTGTACAAAACAGGTTCCACCCATTGCTCACCACAGACAGGAGACATGCTACAGTGCATCTCTTTTCTCCCCCCAAAAAAGGTTCATTTCAGATGCTTAATCCTTATCAGTCAATCATGTACTGCTACTGTACAGGGTTCTCAAGCAATGGTTTAGTTCTTCCCTGATAGCCAGATAGCAGTTAACGTTAAACCAAACTTTTTAACTGATCTTCCCTAAAAGATTTTCAATGACCTCCTATGTCCTACTGTATATTTTTCAATTCAATTTATTTCAATTACATTTTATTTGTATAGTGTAAGTTATCTCAGGACACTTTTCAAATAGAGCAGGTCTAGACCGAACTCCTTATAACATTATTTACAGAGACCCAACAGTACCACCATGAGCAAGCACTTGGCGATGGGGGCAAGGAAAAACTTCCTTTTAAGAGGCAGAAACCTAGGACAGATCCTTCGGCTCTAGGTGGGTGGTCGTCTGCCTCGACCAGTTGGGGTGAGAGAGCGAGAGAGAGAGAGAGAGACAGACAGGTGCACCGCAACAACAGTAGCAACAACTACACTAATAGTAGTGACTGATGATGATCAACATGAAGAAGATGATGACAACGACGACAACAATGATGGGGGACAATGAGCAGTGACAATAGTAATAATAGCGCGGCTGTGGCTCAGAGGCAGAGCGGGTTGTTCCTAAATCGGAAGGTTGTGGGTTCGATCCCCAGCCCCTGGTGCCACATGTCAAAGTATCCTTGAACCCCAAATTGCTCCTGATGCCGTGCATCGGTGTGTGAATGTGTATGAATGAGTTAGTTTCTGTTTGATGGACTTTGCCATCACTGAGTGAATGTGTGCACGTAGTGTAAAAGCGCTTTGAGTAGTCGGAAGACTAGAAAGGCGCTATACAAGTACAGGTCCATTTACCATTTAGTAATAATTATAATAATAGTGATATTAGCAATGGCAGTCAAGCAGGACCATGACAGGGCTCCAGACTAACATTTTGCACTGGCTGCACTGGTGCGCCAGCACAAAATTTTGGTGCACCCAAATTTTTCATTGCGTCGCCGTTAACGCAATAAGGTCACCTTTTTATCGCTCTCCATAACTTTCATATAATGTGAATGATTTTTAAACAAAAATAAGGTGTAGAGAAATTTATTAAACTTTATTTGAAGCACAATTATATATAAAAAGAAAAATAAAGTGTTTAAAGTGATTCACTGAGCTGAAATTGAACATTTCAAACTAAAACACTAAGCAAAATAAAACATTTCCAAATATAAGTTCGATACGAAACGTTGTTGACCCGCTCACGAATGCACTATTTCCGGCCATATTCTGACCGCACTACTGACAGTACACGCAGTGCATTGCGTTACGTCCTTTGTTGTACCTCAGCCAGGGAAATTGTTTCAGCCAGTCCTGTCTGAAGGAATATATTTTGACCTTTTTAATTTGGGTCTTGGAGCCGGGCTCTATCCCAGACTCGGTTGTCTCCTCCTCTGGTTCCGAGTCTGATGCTGTCACCGAAGGACCGGGTCTCTGCAATTTTTAAACACACACAACTTAGAACAGGACCACAGCCAATCAGAGGCAAAGACTCTGTCTCTTATTGGTTTAGAACACGACATGATCCTACCATGAGTGTGTGAGTTCGGTCACAGGAGAACACAGAGAGGTGATGCGCTTGCGAAATAAATTTATGTTTTCACCCGGGCAGCGTCAGGTGCACCAGTGCGTCATGTGCGACCAAATTGGTCACACTCTGGAGCCCTGCATGAGAACCTGCGAGACGAGAAAGCACAAGAACTCCGGGGAAGAAGTGAAGTTAGTAACATGCATTAATGGAACATGAATGAGTGCAGAAAGAGAGAGAGGAAGAGAGGAGCTCAGTGGATCATGGGAAATCCCCCGATAGTCCAGGCCTATAGCAGCATAACTAAGGGTTCAGGACTCACCTGATCCAGCCCTAAATATAAGCTTTATCAAAGAGGAACGTCTTAAGCCTATTCTTATATTTGAGATGGTGTCTGCCTCCCAAACCACAACTGGAAGCTGATTCCACAAGAGAGGAGCTTGGTAACTGAAGGCTCTGGCTCCTGTTCTACTTTTAGAGACTATAGGAACCACAAGTAGCCCTGCATTCAGAGAACGCAGTGTAGTTGGGAAATAAAGCCATTATATGTAACACTTTCGCATAAAAATGTCAATGTAAATCTACAAAGTGCAGATCAGACAGCTTTGGAATTATGGGGAGATGTATTTTCACACCTTTGGAGTCTCCCCCTGCTTCAAGTCTCTGTACTTTTTATTTCCTCAGCTCAGAGTAAAGACAGAGAACAAACCTAGAACAGGAAGAGACTGTTTGATCTTTCATTAAAAAATTTCCCTAAAGAGTCCTACAATAAATGTATCCTAATAAAATTAGTTGTTGTCTGCAGCCTTTATTGTCTAATAAAATAACACATGCATTGCATTTGGTGGCTTATTCTTTTAATGGGATTAACAAGGTTTAACAACATAAAGCAGCTGTCAGAGATCAGAAATGTAGTTAGTTTGAGCATGAACTTCCCTCACTGTGTTGATTAAATGTGTTTGGTTTTTTTTTTATTTGGAGGGTAAGTGAGTTCTGTGGAACAAAGGAATGAGCAATTTCCAGTTGTGGATAAGGCCAACTTTATCCCTTAGAGTAGTTTTAGCTTCATTAAAATAGCTGAATACAAAGCACACAATGGCATAAAATGGATATTTTAAAAAATATAACAATTTATAAGATAAAATCCTGTATTGATCCCCATAGATGGAAAAAAGTCAGACACACCAGCATAGGGGAATGTAGTGCAAAAAAGTACAAAAGTGTACAAGGACAATAACAGTCACAAAATAGGAATATTCTAAGATATCATAGAAAATATGACTATAATGAAAAATATATACACTATATTAAATGCAATATGTAGTAAAGTGTTGTGCAAAAAATTCTGAGCAGTGTATAACTAAAAAACTAAACTGTACATGTGCAATTTAAAGAAATAGTTTGGGCAAATAGTTTGTGCATCGTAGGTATGGTGCAAACGAGCCTCCAAAACGCTGGCACAGGGCTGGATCAGTCTGTGGCTATGCTCCTGAGTTGCCTCAGGATGAGAGGGGCTGTCCATGATGGCTTTCAGCTTCCTTCTCACCTTCTTCTCAGTCACTGCCTTCAGACTGACAAGCTCCATCCCCACCAGCTAGCCTTCTTCAGCTTGCTCAACTTGTTGGCACCCCTAGTCCCGATGCCTCCTCCCTAGCACACCACAGCAAAGAAGATGACACTGGCCATTACAGACTGGTAGAACATCCGTAGTAGCCGAGTGCACACGTTGAAGGACCTGAGCCTCCTCAGAAAGAACAGCCTGCTCTGTCCTTTCCTGTAGAGGGCCTCAGTGTGGTCCTAGCCAAGGTGTGAATGGGTGAAGTTGAGGTGTTTGTGAGTCAAACCTGTTGGCACGTCCCTTTTGTCCCCTCCACTGAACCTACTGACCTTTTCATTCTAGAAATCGCCTCCACCGACCACTGTTGCACAGTCCTGGTGGCATTAGACTGTCTCCTCCTAACAGCAGGCCTGTATGTAGGAGTAAGCTGAATCAGGCAGTGGTCAGATTTAATGAGAGGGCGGTGGCGCTGTATGCCTCCTTTACATTGGCATACAGTAGATCCAAGGTCTTTTCCCCCCTGTGTCTCAGGTCACATACTGGGTGAAGTTGGTCAGGGTCCTTTTTATTTATTATGATAAATGCGCTGGGATAACGTGTCTGTAGGTCTGCAACAGTGGAGTGGATGATGTCACAGGTGTGCACCGCTACTGCCGATGAAGGAATGTAAACGGTGACAACAAAACTGGCTGAAAACTCTTTGGGCAGATAGTATGGCCTTAACCCGATGGCCAGCAGTTCGCAATATCGGTCGTGCAGATTTGTGACATGTCCTGGGTTACACCATTGAAGACAGCAAGCCCTCCTCCCGACTTCTTACCGCTTTTCTTCCTATCTGCCTGAACTAGCGAAAACCTGCCTAGTTCAACTGAACAGTCTGGTATATTCCCATACAACCATGTCTCAGTCAGGCATAACATGCTGCACTCCAGATAATCACGCTGCCTGCTGACCAGGGCCGAGAGCGAGCGTACATTCCCTGTGACAACCAAGGGAAGACAGGGCTTGTACATCACCTTTCTGTCTTCTTGTTCCTCTCCAACGTGCCTGCTCTAGTTCCTTGCCTTTGTCTTCTTAACTCTACCGGAAACACCTTTTTGCTGTGCAGTCAGTTGTTTTTCTATACAAGGCTTGGTAATGTTATACTTACAGTGTATGACTTGTGCCCTGCCAGGATCCTGTGCTCTCCAACGGGAGGATAATAAGATTTGACATAAAGATTCAAGACCACATGGATAGAGTCAAGAAAAGAAGTGGGGAGTTGGAGAGTATCCCAGTCAACAGGTCGAAGGCAGACCCCAGCCCTAGCCAGCAGAAAATCACTATTCTTAAACAGATTTCCCTGGATGACAAGAAATCCGTGGAAGTGTACGTCACTGCTGTCAATTCTGTGGGAAAATCTCCTGAGGCATCGTTGGTCATCACTGAAAAAGCAAATGGTAGGTGTTCATGGTGAAAAGGCACCTGAGTAAATAAAATCTTGTCTAGGCGGTTGAGAAATTAGACTTTAAGCAGCATTCCATCAACAATGTGATGTCAAGTGTATTTTTTGTGTGTGTGTTACAGAGCTCCCTACAGTGAAAGACCTGAAAGTGCAGCGAAATGGGGGCCAGCTGTGTCTGGAATGGAAACCCCCTGCCAGACCTGTGTCAGAGTATGTGGTGGAGTGGGTCAGTGGTAGTCCGATAGACTGGGTCAGTGGTAGTCAGATGGACTGGCAGAGGGAACAAGCAAGTACCACCAACACTGTCATCAAAGGTAATCTCTTTAATCTACAGAATAAATATCTGAGTGGAGTTCGTAGTATGACTTCAACATGCCATTAAAGGGATATAATGAGAATGAAGTATTGAATTCAATTTCAATTTTATTTGTATAGCGCCAATTCATAACATATCTCAGGACACTTTTCAAATAGAGCAGGTCTAGACCGAACTCCTTATAACATTATTTACAGAGACCCAACAGTACCACCATGAGCAAGCACTTGGCGACAAGGGCAAGGGAAAACTGCCTGTTAAAAGGCAGAAACCTAGGACAGATCCTTCGGCTCTAGGTGGGTGGTCGTCTGTCTCGATCAGGTGGGGTGAGAGGGTGAGAGAGAGAGAGAGAGAGAGAGAGAGACACACTCTGACCAGCCTCACAACAACACTGCTCTACAAACAGTAATCAGAGTAAAGCAAATTATAGCACAATGTAAAGAAAGCTATCTGGACCATTGGGAAGAAACAACTAAAAGCCAAAGTAGATTGGAATGTTATCTTGCCGTTAAAAGGGATTATGAATTAGCAGAATATCTCTCTACTGTCAGAGATAGAAAGCAGAGACAGAGCCTAACCAAGTACATGCTCAGTGACCACAAACTGGCAATAGAAACAGGAAGACACAAAAAATCATGGCAACCAAAAGAAAACAGAAAATGTGGTCACTGTTCGACAGGTGAGGTTGAGACAGAGATGCACTTTCTCCTACAATGTACAAAATTAAATAATACTAATTTATTTGAACAAGTTCAGCTCTTTGATACCAGATTTCAAAGAGCTGAACGACCTCTCCAAATTAAAAATACTCCTCGGAGAAGGAGAGCGGGCACACCTTGCTGCCCAGTATGTATTAACATGCCACAACCTGAGGGACAGTAAGTGATCGAGGCACACACACACACAGACACACACACACACACACACACACACACACACACACACACACTGTATATAACTAATATAATGTTCATAACGTATATATCTTTGATTTATTGTATTGTATTTGAACACTGTTGTTTTGTTTTCAAAAAAAACTTTCATGCAAATAAAGCTCATTTTGAATTGAATTGAATTGAATTGAGAGAGAGAGACAAAGAGAGAGAGAGAGAGAGACACACAGATAGACAGACAGAGAAACAGACAGACAGACAGGTGCACAGCAACAACAGTAGCAACAACTACACTAATAGTAGTGACTGATGATGATGAACATGACAACAGCAACGATTGGGGACAATGAGCAGTGACAACAGCAACAACAGTAACCGTAGCTATAATAATACTTATAATAATAATAACACTGATATCAGTGATATTGGCAATGGCAGTCAAGCAGAACCATGGCAGGAGGCTCCACCAGGATCCATGAGAACTTGCGTGACGAAAAAGCACAAGAACTCCGGGGAAGAAGTGAAGTTAGTAACATGCATTAGTGGGACATGAATGAGTGCAGAAAGAGGAAGAGAGGAGCTCAGTGCACCATGGGAAATTCCCCGGTAGTCTAGGCCTATAGCAGCATAACTAAGGGATGGTTCAGGACTCACCTAAGCCAACCCTAACTATAAGCTTTATCAAAGAGGAATGTCTTAAGCCTACTCTTAAATGTGGAGAGGGTGTCTGCCTCCCGAACCACAACTGGAAGCTGGTTCCACAGGAGAGGAGCTTGGTAACTGAAGGCTCTGGCTCCTGTTCTACTTTTAGAGACTATAGGAACCACAAGTAGCCCAGCATTCAGAGAACGTAGTGTTCTAGTGGGGTAATAGGGTACTATGAGCTCTTTAAGATATGAAGGGGCCTGACCATGAAGAGCTTTATAGGTGAGGAGGAGGATTTTAAATTCTATTCTATAAATTTTACAGGGAGCCAGTGCAGAGAAGCTAGTACAGGAGAGATGTGATCTCTTTTTCTAGTTCCTGTCAGTACTCGTGCTGCGGCGTTCTGAATTAATTGGAGCATTTTAATGGACTTATTGGGGCAACCTGATAATAAAGAGTTGCAGTAATCCAGCCTTGAAGTAACAAATGCATGGATTAGTTTTTCTGCATCAGTCTGTGATAGGATGTGTCTAATTTTTGTAATATTACGTAAATGAAAGAAGGCGGTCCTGGAGGTCTGCTTTATGTGGGAATTAAATGAAAAATCCTGATCAAAGATAACTCCAAGATTCCTGACAGTGGTGCTAGAGGCCAAGGTAATGCCATCTAGAGTAACTATATCTTTACAGTTAGTCTCTAAGGTTTTTGGGGCCAAGTACAAGAATTTAGTTTTTTTTCTGAGTTTAACATCAGAAAATTCTTAGAAAATTCTTAGTTCTTGTTCTTAGTCTTTCTCAACCAAACTGGAAACACTGCAGCCAGTTCTATTTGTTATAGTGTACCGCGCTCCTGGACCGTACTCTGATTTTATATCTGAATTCTCAGAGTTTTTATCAAGTTTAGTCCTTAAATCAGATAAAGTAATTATTGTAGGTGATTTTAATATTCATGTGGATGTTAACAATGACAGCCTTGGTAACGCATTTATCTCATTAATAGACTCAATTGGCTTCTGTCAGAGTGTAAATAAACCAACTCATTGTTTTAATCACACTCTTGACCTTGTTTTATCATATGGCATTGATATTGAACATTTAATAGTCTTCCCACATAATCCTTTCCTATCTGACCATTATTTAATAACTTTTGAATTCATACTATTAGATTATAAGCCATTAGGCAAAACTTCCTACAGCAGATGTCTATCTGACAGTTCTGTAGCTAAATTAGGGTTAGGGTTATAGGGTTATAGGACTAACGGAGTCCTATAACAATTTTAGTCCCTCTGAAATTGATAATCTTGTCGATAGTGCTGCAGGCTCACTACGATCAACATTAGACTCTATCGCTCCTATAAAAAGGAAATTATTAAAACAAAGGAGATTAGCACCATGGTATAACCACCAAACCCGCCAGTTAAAGCAAATAGCTAGGAAATCTGAAAGGAAATGGCGCTCTTCCAAATTATCAGAATATCGCTCAATTTGGCAAGATAATCTTAAAACTTATAGAAAGGCCCTCCGTAATGCCAGAGGAGCCTATTACTCAGCACTAATAGAAGAAAATAAGAGTAACCCTAGGTTCCTCTTCAGCACTGTAGCCAGGCTGACAGAGAGCCACAGCTCTATTGAGCCACATATCCCCATAAACTTATAGCAACGACTTTATGAGCTTCTTCCACAATAAAATTATTACTGTTAGAGAGAAAATTAATCACCAACTGCCATCAACAGTTATCAGTGGCTCTCCAAGTTCAGAGACTTTTGCTAATGTAAACTTAGATATATATTTAGACTGTTTTTCTGCTATCGATCTTCATCAGTTAACTTCAATCATTTCGTCATCGAAGCCATCAACCTGTCTATTAGACCCGATCCCAACTAGGCTGCTTAAAGAAGTTGTTCCCTTAATTGGCACTTCTTTACTGGATATGATTAATCTTTCTTTATTATCAGGATATGTACCACAGTCCTTTAAAGTAGCTGAGTTGTGTGACTTTCTACATGACTTTCTACATAACAATAGTTTATTTGAGGATTTTCAGTCAGGATTTAGAGTTCATCAAAGCACATAGACAGCTCTGGTTTAAGTTAATAATGACCTTTTGATTGCTTCCGACAATGGACTTGTCTTTGTACTTGTATTATTAGATCTTAGTGCTGCATTTGACACCATTGACCATAATATTCTTTTACAGAGACTTGAGCATCAAATTGGCATTAAAGGAAGCGCACTAACCACTACTTGTGGTTCCTATAGTCTCAAAAAGTAAAACAGGTGCCAGAGCCTTCAGTTACCAAGCTCCTCTCCTGTGGAACCAGCTTCCAGTTTTAGTTCGGGAGGCAGACACCCTCTCGACATTCAAGAGTAGGCTTAAGACTTTCCTCTTTGATAAAGCGTATAGTTAGGACTGGATCAGGTTAGTTATGCTGCTATAGACCTGGACTATGGGGGGATTTCCCATGGTGCACTGAGCTCCTCTCTTCCTCTCTCTCTCCTATTGCACTCATTCATGTCCCATTAACCCTTTAGGCGCCAGGTTTTGAATAATACTAGATTTTGACATTTAAATTTCAGAAGGCTCTGGCTTGAAAGGGGTTTGAGATAGAGACAAAGTGTAAAAGTGACAAATATTGAGAATGAGCTAAAGTTTATCAAGGGAGTAAATTTCCCCATCTAATTTGCATATTATGACGTCATATGGCAGCGGCCATATTGGATTATGTAATTTCCATGAAATACCTGATATTTTGAAAGAGAGTTGAACTTATTTGATCAGAGTCACCCCCCTCCATCCATTCCAAAAAGTAAATTGTAAGCCAACAGTCGTAAACTAGAACTATTACTACACTTTAGGGGTTTTTTTTGTACCCACCACCAAAGAAAAAGTGTCCTCCAATAGGGGGGGGGACACTTTTTCTTTTCTTTTTTTTCTTCTCTTCTTCATTATTAGGGACCGAGCCAGCGACCGCTGCAGGTCCCTATTGTATTTGCTCGAGTTCCCTATTATTTTTTGGCGCATTCGACTGTGTTTTTGCCCCCCTGAACATATACGAAAAGTCCATTTTATTTGGCAAAGTTGTCAGGCCTGGCGAAAAATTTTATATTCTATGCGTCGCTTTCGGTTTGGCCACTAGGTGGCGCTACTATCATAAAAAATGTGTTTAGGCTAAAAACTTCTGCATAGTTTGTCGCACATTAAACCTTACATCCACGCGTTCGGTGAATGGAGCTGGATCTTCCCACATAAGCCCTGCCCACTTTTGCCTACATTTTTGCTAGAGCGCGAAATGTCCATAAACTACTTTTTGGTGTTCCTCCTACACGCTTTGTCCGATTCGCACATAATTTTTTACGTAGCACCTGGGGACTGTCTTAACAAAAAAGTAGTCTAAAGAATTTTGATATTTAAAAAAATAAAGACGTTATAAAATTAAGACTTCCTGTAAGTCTTTCGCCA